TAACACAGAGTTGGCAGTACCTGGAATGGTCTGCTGTTCATAGGAAACTATGTGCCTTCCTTCCCACAAGCCATGATTTGCTAGCATTGCATAGAAAAGCACAGAGACCCAGTGATAACACCACTGGTCTAAAATAACATACTGAGTGTAAATGGAATGTTTTTTTTTCAAAATCTTATTATTATTGATGGAGGGGAGGGATGAACCAGAGAAGCCAAAGTATAAGAAGATTACATCTTAAATGAAATCTGGAAGCTGTGTCCAAAAAAAGGCAGGCAGAGGACAACAGATTCATTATCACTATTGCCTTTGGTCTCTCTACAGAAGAAATGTTCCCCATTACTGACTTGCCATGCCTTGTTCTGTCCCTGTGTGGAGGTTTCCATCATGTCAGAGGCTCCAGGAAGGGGCACAATGGTGACACCACTGCAGACACACCGTTCTGATGCTGTAGGCATAGCAGTGCCTAGACACAATCATATACTAGTATGTACACTGCTATTTTTCAGGCAAAATACCAGAAAAAGTAAATTTTCAGGTTGCTGCTTAGGCATAATTAATATTTCTATGGCTCCATTTACATACAGGCGATTTGAATCGCGAACAAAATCACCGCAATTCTGCCCGAGATTTCAAAACGCACTGTTAAAATGTCAAATCACCCATCAGCGTGTTCAGGTGCTCTTCATTTCAATGGCTCCTAAAAACACGGGGTGAATCTGCTGTGATTGTTACACAAACAAAATCGTGCGAAGCGTGTCACCCAAAAGAAAACTTTTGGCTACACACATAGTGGGACTGCATGAGTCGCCTGGCATTTTTAGGTGCCTTTGAAATTAACGGCACCTTAACACGCTGATGAGCGATTTAACATTGTGAGTTTTGAAATCGCAAACAAAACCGCCCGTGATTCAGAGTCTAAAGGTTCCCTATACCAGTGTTAATCTTTTTCATTTCAGGTCACCAGGGCTGGATAACTTCTGGTCGCCATGGAGACTGGAAAGTTATCTATTGGCACAGCCTGTCAAGACAATATAAACCCAAAAACAAATATTTATTATATTGTAATGTCCCGGTCCTTAGATGGGATGCATCTATTAGTTTTCTTTTTTTCACATGATAATCTTGCAAATAACACATTTCCTGTCCATATGCACCCAGGTTGGACTTCAAATATAACTGCCTTTGCTCATCTCCATTGCATTGTGGATTGAGGAGATTAGTAGTTTACATAAAGAAAGAGAACATGGTTTTTGCCTGCAGTTTATTTCACAGGAAGTGACAAGGACACTATTTCTGGTAAAAGCAACAGGTTAAATCATGGCCAAACATTGGTACCCCTGCATTTCTGTCAGATTACAAATGTTTAGGCATTCTCATGTTTATTTCTTTTGGTTGTATTGCTATGACACAAAAAAGTGGAGAAACAGAAAGCCAAATCTGACATTCCAGCAAAACCACAAAAATGGACTGGACAAAATTATTGGCACCTTCTCAAAATTGTGAGAAATGATTGCATTCCAAGTTTGTAATACTCCTGTAATTTGTAATTAACCACTTACCTACCAGGCACTTTTACCCCCTTCCTGCCCAGGCCAATTTTCAGCTTTCAGCGCTGTCGCACTTTGAATGACAATTGCGCGGTCATGCAACACTGCACCCAAACATTTTTATCTTTTTTTAGACATATAGAGCTTTCTTTTCTTTTGGTGGTATTTAATCACCACTGGGTTTTTTTTTGCTACACAAACTAAAAAAAGATGTTTGTTCTTAGTTTCTGTTATATCATTTTGTAAATAAGTAATTTTTCTCCTTCACTGATATGCGCTAATGAGGCTGCAGTGATGGGCACTGATAGGCTGCACTGGTAGGTGACACTAACAGGCATTAGTGATGGGCACTGAAAGGCAGCACTCATATATGGCACTGATTGGAACTGTTAGGCATCACTGAATGGCACTGAAAGGCAGCTCTGAGGCATTGATGTGCACTGGTAGGCACTGATATGTGGCATTGATGGGCACTGATGGGGCCACATTGATGATCAGGGCCCTGATGATCATGTATATGTCCCCTCTAAGGAATTAGCGGGCTCTTCTCTCCTCACGCTGTCAGCGTGAGGACTGCCGATACCCAGTATTTCCTTGTTTACATGCGACCAGTTGTGATTGGACATAGCTGATCAAATGAAAAAGCCTGTGTTATCGGCTCTTTACTGTGATCGGTGACCTGCTGGGTCCCAAGGACACAGCGCACCACCGATCGCCGGGCCTCGCACCCCCGGGGTTGCGTATGTGCAGTTAGAGTGGGAGGATGTCAAATGACGTCCTCCCAGAACGAGAGAGCTGACGCCCGCCCGACCTTTCCTTATATGGTGGGTGGGAGGTGGTTAAACTCACCTGTATCAATTAAAAGGTGCTGACGATATAGAAATCACTCTGGCAACCGGTTAAAATGGTGAAAAATTGACTCCACCTTTCTGTTATGTGTCTCTGTATGCCACATGGAGAAGAGAAAGAGCAGCAAAGAACTGTCTGAGAAACAAAATTGTGGAAAAGCATGGACAATCTCAAGGTTACAAGTCCATCTCCAGAGAAGAAATTTACAGCCCATGGCCCTGTAGCTAATCTCCCTGGATGGGGATGAAAGAGAAAAATTGATCAAAGATTGCAAGGAAGGATTGTTCGAATGGTGGCTAAAGAATCTCAATCATCTTCCAGACAAATTCAAGCTGACATTCAGGCACAGGGTACAACTATGTCAGCTCACACTATAAGTCTCCATCTGAATGAAAAGGGATGCTATGATAGGAGACCCAGGAGAACTCCACTACTGTCACAAACATAAAAAAGACAGATTGGAGTTTGCCAAAACTTACTTGAGGAAGACAAAATCCTTTTGGGAAAATGTGCTGTGGACAGACGAAACAAAATTACAGCTGTTTGGTAAACCCCGTCATTCTGTTTTCAGAAAAAGCAATGAGGCCTCTAAAGAAAAATTACAGTCCTTACAGTTAAACATGGAGGGGGTCACTGATGTTTTGAGGTTGCTTTGCTGCTTCAGGCACTGGATGTCTTGACTGTGTGCATGACATTATGAAAACTGAAGACCATCAAAGAATTCTGGGATGCAATGTAGGGCCCAATATCAGAAAGTTGGGTCTCTGTCAGATGTTACAGCAGGACAATGACCCAAAGCACACATCAAAAGGCACCCAGAAATGGTTTCAGACAAAAGTGCTCGAGAGTACTGAGCTGGCCAGAAAGGAGTTCAGATCTCAATCCCATTGAGTACTTGTGGGGAGACCTCAAAACGGCAGTTGGGAAAAGGAACCCTTCAGACCTGGAGCAGTCGGTGAAAGAAGAGTAGTCTAAAATTCCAGTAGAGAGGTGTAAGAAACTCATTGATGGTTACAGGAAGTGATTGATTTCAAATTATTTTTTCCAAGGGGTGTGCTACAAATATTAAATTGAGGGTGCCAATAATTTTGTCCAGTCCATTTTTAGGTGGAATGTGTCAGATTTGGCTTTTTGTTTCTCCACTTTGTATCATACCAATACAAACAAAATAAATAAACATAAGAATGCCTAAATATTTGTAATTGCAACAGTTTTCTGGGTGAAGTGGTGCATTATCTGACAGAAATGCAGGGCTGCCAATATTTTTGGCCATGACTGTATATTTTGTACTTGATGAAAATGCTGTTAGCCAAAAAAATAAATAAAACAAAGGCAGCCAACACGTTAGGAGTAGTAAGGTGCAATATATCATGTTTTTGTAAGACAGGCATTCAGATGACCAGTTAAACTATTTGCTTTTCAGAAATGTTAGACATACTTTTCTCCACATTTAACATCATATGACTTTTCTGTCATATGGTTCGGAGCATAGGGGAAGCCAGATCCTGAACCTTTTTAGTAATATTAACCACTTCCTGACCACTATACAGGCCAGCTGCTGACAGAGAAGAAACATCCATTCCTTCCCCTCCTGTGTGACAATCAAAGCCGAAAGCGTCAAGGATTTTGTTAATTCTGGTTTTGGTTTGTTGCTGTTACTGGTTAAACAAGCATCTGATCTCAGTTTGATCAGATGCTTTTGAAGGCAGAGCTGAGATATGGGATCTAACAGAGCCCAGATCTCCATTAAAGAGTATCTATCAGAGTCCATGCTACCACAAGGGATGTTGTTTAGGTGTTATGATTGCAATAAAGTTAAATAAAAAATATTGTGCAAAATAAAAAAAAAATTTAAAAAATGTTTGCAACAACCACCATTTTATTCTCCAGGGCATTGCATTCATACAATATATAAATGTTTGAGGTTTCCAAGTGATTTTCTAGCAAAAAAAAAAAAACACAAAACAAAAACATTTTTTACATATATGCGAGAAATGTCAGAATTGACTGGGCAGAAAGTGAACAATTATTGAAAATACCCTAAAAGAACATTTCCTTTCTGTTCCTCTACACATCTGTTTTCTCTAAAAACAGAAACTCGATATTTCACTATAGCAGAAAATGTAGTAAGTACAAGGTGATGATGATGATTAGTATTATTTCCAATATTACTAGTCTGCAAAGCAGACTTCATTTTTCAGAATGAAATATATCCCATAATATGGCTTATCTTCCTGAAAATGACTCAATGCCACTCTCACAGTCTGTTCAAGTAAGCCTTTAAGACACAGATCACGGGAAGACACATTAATGAGACACAGATAGTGGTCACCAAATATTAAAAATACATAAAGATAAGTACAAATGGAAGCAACATTTGGAGAGATTTATACATGTTCTGAGAGCAGATAAAAGGTTTCATAGAAACATAAGGTTTTGATGCCCAGAGGACAGTATGTCACTACTAGGTAAATCACCACAAATAAATACATACTTTGCTGTAGATTATTTCTTTAAAACACAAAGCCTAATGTACAGATACATTCAGCAGATTCGCAAAATAGAATCCACCATGTAAGAGCCAGCCGCTGCCTTCCATCCTTAGAAATCCATGGAACCTGTGGCCAAGTAGTCTTTTCTTCCAATGGTGCTGACTTGTTTTGTTTGCATTGCTTCCAGTTTGGGACAATCTGTAATACGATGACCCAAACCTCCACAAAAGGCACATCCTCGTTCTCCTAGAGACAGAGAAAATTAGGTTATAGTCCAAAGCTTTAATGCTGAAGTATCTTTTTATTATAGAGAAGACAGTAGCCACCATAGTTCATGTTTTGGATTAACCTTGAAAAGCGCACCAATATGTCAAGACACCCAAGTAACCATATATGCTATTAGGCTAGGTTCACATCTGTGCGGGTGGTACAAAAATATGTGCAGCCACACCACCCGCACAGAGAAATGCGGACCCGTGGGGGTGCCATTAGTTCTAATGGCACGCCGCCCGCACTGGAAAATGCAACCATACTGGGAACCGAGGTTCCCATGCGGGCTGCGTTTTCGGAAGAAGTGCAGGGACTTCTTCCCTTCATGTCACGGGAGTCCATTCAAATTAATGGGATCTAGTGCCTGCGCAAAACACGGCCCGCACAGACACATATATGTGAACCGGGGCTAAGAGATCATGGCGCACACCTTGCAGCATGCATGAAAATCATACGAAATGTAAGATGCGTTAGAACAGGTACACTTCAAAAAGTGAACCTCCACTGACAGTAATGACACAACACACCTCTATTCCATTGTTTACCCTACTCAAACTTTTTTGTTTTTAAGGTTTGAGGCAAGATTAGCATAACTGCATTTTTAGTCTTTGTTATGCATGACTGCAACAGGAGTAATAGTGTTAAACTTGAAACAATACATTCAGAAGTCAGGGGGATATTGGAAGATGTATGGGGTGGTAATATATTCAGTTTTTAGTTAGGAAATTAACAAAGGGTTAATAGGACAATGCTGTATAGGACAATACCCTTTAAAGCATGAAGGGCAAAGCTACAGCCTTACTTAACTTCCACCCTCCCAGAGATTAAACCAGTGTTTCTCAACCTTTTTTCAGACAAGGCACCCTTTAAATTTATGGACAATCCCAAGGCACCCTTTAAAATGGACAGTCTTGAGGCACCGCATTCTAAAATGTAAAACCTATCCTAAATAGTTTTATATAACGCAGCAACATCCACACATCCTCAGTTTTTCTCCATCACTGAGCTAATGTGACCCCAGCACTGATGGAGAAGGGCAGGGGAGGGTCAAACTAGGATGTTGTGCTACTCCTTATCAACTGATGTCACTGGTTGTCAGGATGCCGGCAGCTAATGTCGTAATGGTGCACAATGCAACCCTGCAACTTTGAGTAGCTAAAAGGTAGGCTTGTTCCACCCGCTGGCTTGAATATAAATTTTGGGCAATTTTTAGATATTTTGCCAAGACACCCCTGAGGAAACCTCAAGACACCCTGGTTGATAAAGGCTGGATTAGACAAAGAATCAAATCAAAATATTCAAATCTAAAAAGTGGGCGTAGTCATCCTAACAAAAAGCACTATTAAAAAAAAAACAAAAAAAAAAACAAATGAACTGGCCAAAAGATTTTACAAAAAGGAGCTGGTCACCCAAAACAAGTTCAACTTAAAATAAATAAATTCATGTATTTTTGTAGGTAAAAATATTGTGCATTTGTTATTTTTTCTATTTAGGAGTCTGTAAAACATTGCACCCACGATCTGCAATGTCAGGCTCCTGCAGACTGTGAGTGTAGCTGTCTGCCCGTACATCATATGGGAAGGCAGTTACTAAATAACAGGCAGGATCAATGAACTACCTAGAGTGCTCATCATTCATTGAGAACTACAAGCCGTCTGACTGACGGTAGTTGTAATTCTCCCATTTACAGAACTCTGAATGAATGATGCATCTTAGTGGGCGGAGCCCCACATGGCCACATTTTTTAAAATTGTGACAGCGGATGCAAGGAGAAAATCTCATTGTTGGAACATGCAAGACAAAAAAAACAAAAAACAAAAACAGGAGAATGAAATCACCAGGTTGCACTTCTAACCAAACATTGCTTTTGAAACCCACAAGACTCAGAGTTCTGTACAGCTGATCAGGAAAAAAAAAAAAAAAAACTTTTAAAAGTAAACCACTGAATACATGTCTACAACTGGTAACATCAGGAAAATTGATAGTATGCCAAGTTACACCTCCTGCAATTTATATGGGTGGAATTACAGTTTCTGTATTTCATTGAATGCCATCTTGCATTTATGTCAACTGAAGGACAACAGTACATTAATTACCATCCTTATATCAATCCAGCGATCTACTATGAAAGAGACTTTGGATTACATTGACGGGCTGCTAGTAGGGTGCAGTCTTTTAAAGTCTCTTTTTCAGCTTTCATAAGACAAAGAGGGACCAACATTGACTGCTCAGATCACACATTTTGGAGCAACGCCCTTTGCACTAATCTCTTTGCATCTCAGGGCATCATAATTACACCATTTAATCCCTAAATGTACAATGTAAGATAGGAATATAAGCTGTTCACGAGTGGAAATGCATAAAAACAATGGCAGACGTGTTAATACAGAGCACAGAGATATTAGTGGCAATGTTTGAGATTGCTCACCTTCAATATCCAGCATATCATCACTGCTATTGAGCACTTGCAGTACAGGAGGTACGCGCTGCTTGGCTTCCAGAAGCAGAGCCTTGAGGTCCATCAAAACAGATTCATCTGTGTGACAAAATGGTGAATTTGTCATTATGAATTTTAAGTCACCATAACCAAATAAAGTCACCAAATGAAGTCTAATGCCCACACACAAATATACTTACCGCATGACTTGTTAATAAAAGTGGTTGCTATGCCAGTGTTACCTGATCGACCCGTACGTCCTATTCTGTGGACTAAACAGAAGGAAGGAGATTTATTTAAAACATGATCTGTGTGCTATTCCTTTATAGAAACAGCTTATTTACCGCACTCCACCAAAATTAAATTTATAAGAAAAGAATCAGCACTCTCATTCTGGAAAATGTGTACAAAATATTGTACTGTTATTATACACCAGCCCATTTGGCATGCATTATTCTGCGGTATTCTCCATTTTGCTTCCATAGTTGTACTCAAACAGGCACAATGGCGCACATCTGGTGAACGTGCCCAATGGTGCACAGATTATGGATCAGGGTATACACGCTACTACGTACACTACTTCACTCTAATTTAAAAAAATTTTAAAAAAAAAAAAAAAAATCACATACGAGGCTCTACTTCATAAACCAATCGATTCTCCCTTGCGTTCGGAACGTCAATTGGCAGCTCACCTCTTCACAGCTACTAAATTACAGTGCATGCAGAAACTATTCACAGCACTTAACGTTTGCCACATTTTGTTATGTTACGGTCTTATTCTAAAATGGATTAAATTCATTTTTTCACTCAACATTCTACAAAATACCCCATAATGACAACGTGAAAAAGGTTTGTTGTGAAATCTTTGCAATTTATTAAAAAAAAACAAAACAAAAAAAAAAAACAAACACACATGTACATAAGTATTCACAGCCTTTGCCATGATACTTAAAATTGAGCTCTGGTGCATCCTGTTCCCACTGATCATCCTTGAGATTTTTCCACAACTTGATTGGAGTCCACCTGTGGGAAATTCAGTTGATTGGACATGATTAGGAAAGGCATACACCTGTCTATATAAGGTCCCACAGTTAACAATGCATGTCAGAGCACAAACCAAGCCATGAAGTCCAAGGAATTGTGCGTAGACCTCCGAGACAGGATTGTATCAAGGCACAGATATGGGGAAGGGTACAGAAACATTTCTGCAGCATTGAACGTCCCAATTAGCACAGTGTCTTCCATCATCCGTAAATGGAAGAAGTTTGTGACCACAAGGAATCTTCCTAGAGTGGGCCGCCCGGCCAAAATGAGCGAGGGAGAAGGGCCTTAGCCAGGGATGTAACCAAGCACCCGATGGTCACTCTGAGAGAGCTCCAGCGTTTCTCTGTGGAAAGAGGAGAACCTTCCAGAAGAACAACCATCTCTGCAACACTCCACCAATCAGGCCTGTATAGTAGAGTGGCCACTCCTCAGTAAAAGGCAAATGGCAGCCTGTCTGGAGTTTGCCAAAAGGCACCTGAGAGACTCTCAGACCATAAGAAACAAAACGCTTTGGTCTGATGAAACAAAGATTTAACTATTTGGCATGAATGCCAAGTGTCATGTTTGGAGGAAACCAGGCACCGCTCACCACCTGGCCAATACCATCCCTACAGTGAAGCATGGAGGTGGCAGCATCATGCTGTGGGCATGTTTTTCAGAGGCAGGAACTAGGAGACCAGTCAGGATTGAAGGAAAGATGAATGCAGCAATGTACAGAGACATCCTTGATGAAAAACTGTTCCAGAGCGCTCTGGATCTTAGACTGGGGTGCCGGTTCATCTTTCAACAGGACAACGACCCTAAGCACAAAGCCCACATAACAAAGGAGTAGCTACAGGCCAGCCCTGTGAATGTCCTGGAGTGGCCCAGCCAGAGCCCAGACTTGAACCTGATTGAACATCTATGAAGAGATCTGAAAATGGCTGTGCACTGAAGCTCCCCATCCAACCTGATGGAGCTGCTTGAAAGATACTGCAAAGAAGAATAAGAGAAAATGCTCAAAAAAGGTGTGTGCCAAGCTTGTAGCATCATACTCAAAACAACTTGAGGCTGTAATTGGTGCTAAAGGTGCTTCAACAAGGTATTGAGCAAATGCTGTGAATACTTATGTACATGTGGTTTTTTTTTTTTCTCGTTTTTTTATTTTAATAAATTGCAAAGATTTCAAAACAAACTTCTTTCACGTTGTCATTATGAGGTATTGTTTGTAGAATGTTGAGGAAAAAAATGAATTTAATCCATTTTGGTATAAGGCTGTAACAACAAAATGTGGCAAAAGTTAAGCTCTGTGAAAAGTTTCTGGATGCAGTGTAACTATTGACACAGCGTGAAAAGCTCATACACTTAGTTTTGAGATAGTAAAACACCGTATGAATGACATTATGAATAAATAAAAAATTTGACAGAAATCTTGGTGGACTCTCATGATAAGTTCCTTAGAACCTGGAATCCCTGAATTTATTATGCCCATCCATCCAAGTTTGGGCATAATCAATTTTTTACATATTTGATCCTATGTCTATTGAGATTCCCCAGGAGCTCTTTCTTCTCTCCTTTTCTTCTGACTCCTCTATTCTTCCCATCTCTTTTTTAAATAAACCTATGTCTGATTCAAAGGTAACAGGTTAAGCTGCCACCTTAATAAAAGTAGTGTCCCTCTACCCTTTCTGCTGGAGATGCTCTGCTTTTTACACCTGGGTCATGATTTGACCACTTTGTGTGTTTAGCCCTAAATCCTACATGGCAGCCTTTTATTTAATCTCTTGAAAGTGTTTGCATACATACTTTGTTGCGTCATCTGTGGCTATGTCCTTAATACTTTATTCTGTGGATGTAAAAATTTTCTGCTATTTGAAATACTGACATGGCCTCTGTTGGGTTATACTTTCTGTATGTACAGTTTGTTTACTGTCAATAAAACCTTTGTAAAAAGAAAAGAGCCAGCACTGTTTCCACCCACATTTTCAAACTCAACATATTACTCTAATAATCTTCCACAAAAAGCCAGATGTTCAGCTCCGCTTGAAAAGAACACAGTGAACAAATAGCAGTTTCTTTAGCAGAACATGGAATGGTTAGCACATTGTTTACGGTCTTTTGTTGGTTCTCAAGATAAGTTTCCTAATGATCAAGAAAGGCCTAAACTCATTTCATCTCCTATAATAAAGACAGGGTAACACAAGCCTGAGAGAGAGCTTATTGTGAGAGTGACAGCCAATGAAATTAAGACGGAGGCTGAGCTCTGAATAACCCAAGAGAAGTGTGCTAAGCAGCCTTGGAGACAGCAGTCAGGAGCGATAATGAGGCTTGGACAGCTGAGAACAAAGACACTGAGATGCCACCAGGGCTTATGTGATACCAGGGTTGGTCCGCAAGGTACAGTGGATGAACTGTTCACTCTACGGAGGGAGATCATGAACCAATGAAACTTCACTAGACGAACAGTATATTCTCTATTGTGGCCAAGATGTAAGCCTGCAAATGTAACTGTTTTCTTGTGATACTGGGACATTTGTGTAAGATATTGAAGACACTGTGGATCCCTTGCTACTGTTAAGAGATAATTCTGCAAGTGTGATAGAATGTGAGATCTTTAGAACCTTGGATGGACGTTCGACTATTTGTGGAAGATTATTAGAGTAACAGATTAATAAGGCCGGAGGTGTGGAAAAAATAAGAAAACTGGGCCCTTTCTTTTAACTTCAGAAAAAAACGAGATGTTGCTGGAAACTAAATATTCAAACATATTCTATGACTGTTGATTCTGCATCACCTCTGTGCCAATGGGGTTAACCTACAAGAGTGAAATTCAGGTCAACTGAAAGGTCCAGCTGCAAATAATTACTGGTAACACAACTGCACGAACTGCTTGCAGTGTAGTAATGACACAGTCATACACAGCAAAACATTGCTCCCTTCTACCATGTGATAGTCAAGTGACCTGTGATCTGCAGTCCAACCCAAAACAAAGATTTAAACACCCCTGTCATAGGAGCAAAACAGGGGTACCACTGTTGGCCTCCTAAAAATAGTGGTTACCGTGGCCACGTCTGGCTTTATATTTCTCAATTACATTCCAGAACAAGCATGAATTAAAACAAAAAGGTCAGAAAATGCAGTATTCCTTATTGCTATACCCATTCCAGGTCTGTGGCTCCAAGTAATGAAGCTGAAACATCAACATGATATACTGATTTTTATTTTTTTGTTTCCAACATCTCTCAAGCAATGTGATGGTCTGCTCTCCGTATTAAAGGTTTATTTGGCATTATGCATTACATTCCTTACTTTTTTTTTTGTATAGTCAACTTTTCTCAAACGTCTTCAGGATGGTCAAGTGACATGCACATCTCTGGCACTGGGAAATTGTTCTTATAAAACCAATGCCATACAGTGCATTATTATCCCATGATAATAGGGTGTTGATATGCGCCACCCCCACCTATAGCTGAAAGCAAGCTTGGACTTTAATGGGCAATTTAAAAAATATATCACAGAATCTTCTGTGATTGGTCCTGTTTGATTTGTGAGCTTACTGTACATATCACACATTTTGTATACAGCAAGATCACAAATCAACCAGGACTAATCATGGAATCTTCTGTCATCCCTTTCTTCCATGGAAACAACATGTCTGCTTTACAGCATTAACTAGAAGCCAATCAAATCTAGACTCCGCTAATACACTAACCAAAAAATAGGGAGTACTTTCAACCCACATTTCTGTTTCCATTTATTAAACTACTCTAAAAAAATTAAAGTAACAAACCATTATAGGAAATATCTCCAGTTTTCACACATTAGAATAATTAATTTTAGGGCTTGAATATAACGGTCATGTTTTGGGTCCCCAAGACTCATGTTTAATCTCAAATGCTGCCTGCTTGTAGGCACCACTAACAGGAGGGGCGATGCAGTATCAAAGCTTGCCAGATGCTGCAGGTACAATTCCTCCTAACACAAAAGCAGTTTGTTGGCCTTTTACAAGTTATGTGTATTAAGGAATTTGGCTTCAAGCAGCTTTTTAGCCCCAGTGGCTGTAAATGTGCATCATTTCCCTCCAACTGTAGGAGCACTTAACTATTTGCTATCTTAACTATTACGACGCAACAACTAGGCGCACCCCTAAATCTTGCCTCTCAGAGGAAGAACCCTGCCCCTATAAAGAATGTATTGCATTTTCAGTCACAGCATATATCATTAAAATGTACTAGCAGAAAGGCTACACACAAGAACTGCAGAACACCTAATACTCCCTCACATTCCAGCAGCATTCATTTCAGTCTTCACACTCACCATAGTTCTCTATCTCCTCTGGCATATCATAGTTGACCACATGCTGTATAGCTGGAAAGTCCAGACCTTTGGAAGCAACATCAGTAGCAACCAGAACATCTTTCTTGTCTTCTCGGAAAGCCTCAATTGCTTTTGTTCTTTCCTCTTGATCTGAAAGAGCAAGACAAGGCTTGTTGACAGACAAGCAGTAAAATAAGCAGTGTGAAAAATGTACAAGCATAGCATGCCACCTGTTACTTTATTTGGTGCAAGCTGAATTAACATCATTAAGCAGAACAATGTCATTCTTGCATTTGGGTGTATGTTGTCTTAGATAGCACAGGACAGAGAACCAGTCAGAGGTGCATGTTTACATAAATAATTATGCGTACAAAGTGAAATACAAGGGCTGTGTGTGGTAAATCCATGTATCTGATCCATTTTTCATGTAGCTCCAACATCCTGACTTTGGATCAAAGGCTATGCACACCATGGTCAGGTTAAGAATGAATAATTATTCTATTCCCTAAACCAGGCATCACTAAATGGCGGACTGTGGTCTGGACACGGACCGAAGGACAGTTCTGTCTATACTGTGGCCGTGCCACTTAGCAGGCCGAGTTAAATCTCACAACACAGCAGAGGGCAGGAGACACAGCAGGGTGGATTTCTTTTCTGTATATGTATTCACCTGGCTGCCGACACTGCCATTAACTTCACAGCAAGGAAAAGGGCAGGAGATATGGCAGTTATACACAGGAAGCGGGAGCTGCCCAACCTTTCACTTGTTAACAAGAAAAGTTGGTCAGCTCCCACCCTTAGTGCACACCTTCCCTATCCCCCATCCTCTTCCCTGCTGTGAATTTAACAGCATGGGTAGGCAGGCAAATACATATACAGAAGAGGAATACACCCTGCTGTGTCTCCCGCCCTCTACTGTGCTAAGATAGGACTGTGAAGGGAGAAAAGCTGTAACTACAGCGGAGACTATGGTTTAATGAGGAGGGGGACTATGATGTGAGGAAATCAGGCTCTGATGTGGATGAGGAGGGGACTGTGATGTGAGGAGAGGGGGCTCTGATGTGAAAGGTGTAAAGGGGGCTGTGATGTAAAGTGGGCGGGGTTGGGACGCAAAGGACCCAAGTCATAGAACAAAAATGAGATTTGGACCTATAGAGAAAAAAAATGTTACTGACCAGACTTCTGTGAATTTTAATTCAGTACCCCTGCCCTAAATTGTCTGATTATACCATCTTTGTCATCAGTTTGGCCTAGATGAAGTATTTTCTTTTTACTCCAATCTCTATGTATACTACTTTACATTGCATTTGATTGTAGGCTGCCTTTGGACAGAATTGAAGACTGATGATGCTTCTTTGACAAACAGGAAATGTAAAGAAGTAACTCAGACTTGTCTAGATATTGTGTTCTTATTTATGGATATAGTAATACAAAGCCGTTCCCTCATTAGGGTATAATACACTTCAGCCTGCCTCTGCCTCTGATTGTTGACAGGAGATTGCTTTACAGGTCAGTGAATGGGTGCCAATTTTCTTCACTGAATATAGGATTATGCATTCAAAACAAGTTTCTGGTGGTGAATTACAAACTTTCTATTGAATGCTTCTGCTTTGCCCAATTTTCCCAAACACATACAGTATATAGAGGTCAACTACAATATAATCACCAATATTTATTCTGGTAAGTCAGGTGAGGAGGGGCCCTCCGGAAGATTTACCCCTCTTCATGACCAGGAAATTTTTTGCTATTAAACGTTACGCTACTTTAACTGACAATTGAGCAGTCATGCATCACTGTACACAAATTATATTTAGATAATTTTTTTCACACAAATAGAGCTTTCTTTTGGTGGTATTTGATCATCACTGGGTTTTTTATTTTTTGAGCTCTAAAGGGAAAAAAGACCAAAAATATTTTTTAAAAAACAAAATTTTTTTTTACGGTTTGCGATGAAACATATCCAATAAAAAAAGAAAAAACAAAATTTCTTCATAAATGTAGGCCAAAATGTATTCTGCTACATGTTTTTCGTAAAAAAAATCTCAATAAGTGTATATTAATTGGCTTGCATGAAAATTTTAGCGTCTATGATATGTATACTGTTATTTTTATTTTATTATACTAGTAATGGCAGTAATCAGCAACTTATAGCGGGACTGCAATAGTACGGCAGGCATTCTGACACTGACGCTGGAGGAAACTGCCACCGATATCTTCATTGACACAAAACTGGTGATTGACACCCACGGGAGCCAATGACAGCATGGGTAGGACAGCACGCACGCCCCTACCTGGAAATGCAGAATCAAGTATACATATGTGATTCCTGTGTTCGCCCTGTAGCAGTAAAACAGCTATAGGGTGAACACCAAGTAGTTAAGGCTCCCAGTGCCTATCAGTGCTGAAGGCTCTGAAGATGCAGTATTTCCTAACTGACCTCTGTTTAATTATATAGTAGTGTTCTTGTTATTCTAAATGCTTTTTTTTTTCTAAAAAGAATAAAACAAATTTATACTTACCTGCTCTGTGCAATGGTTTTGAACAGAGCGGTCCCAAGCCTCCTTCTTGGTTCCCCTACCGGGCCTCCTGGCTCTTCCCCTCTGCTGAGGGCACCCAAAGAAAGCCACATTCTACGGGGGCACTCGTGGGCTTGCTCCCGAGCCTCGCTGTCTGCATCTGAGACAGAGAGCAGGACTTGATCACACCCCCTCATCACTAGATTTGACTGACACCAGCAGGAGCCATTGACTGCCGCAGCAAGGTCAGTGAGACCAGGAAGTGAGGGAAGAGAAAAGCTGCAGACAGACACAGAGCTGGATCGAATGAGGGCTTGGGTAAGTAAAAGGAGGGTGAGGGGGGATAATGATGCCTAAACATTTTTTACCTTAACGCAAGGAATGTATTAAAGGTAAAAAAAAATGTTTAGGCTTTATAACCAGTTTCAGTTCCATTATCTTGAGCTTTTGAATTCGTATTGTCTGTATAAGTTAATCTCATATTTTCATTTATGGTTTCTTACATATATTAAAAGTCAGTAAAATCATCTCTGTTCTGAGCATTAAAGTTGAAAAAAAAAAAGCTTGTTGAAATACAAAAATTACTTGTTGTGGAATGGGTGGGCTCCAGGGTTGGCCTTCTCGCATTGTATTTACTGCTTAACAGGTGAGATTTTGTTCATTCTACTCTAATACATTACCAAAACTCCCAATTAGTGGCCAAGTATCCAATTGCTTCAGTAATGCTGAGACTAGAAATCCTGTTGTCCTGGAAGCTCTAAAATGTCTCACTTCTGCAAGCCTAATTGTACAACTGTAAAGACCAGGTACATGGAAACTTTCTGCTTGTGTGTTCAGCACAAAGAAATTCATAGACAGCAAAAAGACAATATTATTCTCACCTTTGCCTCCATGTATAGCCACTGCCTCCACCCCCTTAAGAAGCAAATATTCATGTATAGCATCGACATCTGCCTTCTTCTCTGCAAAGATCAGCACCTAGAAAAACAAAATCAGAAGGGATAATGGGTTGACAAACATGCAGGCTAAGGGCAGGAAAAGTCTCAGATAAAATATAGATTTTACACTGAACTAGTCATATTTCTGCTTCAATGCAAGTAACCACAACAAAGGAAAAAATAAATATAATTTGTTCTGCAAACACCATATTTATTGCTTAAATCAGAATTTTATTATTTCTTGAAAAACATGCTAGATTTTTACATTGTATTCACTTTTTTTGCTATTAGTACAGGAGCCTCAGGAACTCAGAATGTAATTTAATCAGCTTAATCGTGTGTCAGAGAGATTGGCTACCCTTATCCTTTTTGTCCAGCTTAACACCTCCACTAAAGCAATCAGCAGGGATTCCTTTCTTGACATTAATCAGTTACAGCAGTAACATATGCAAAAGTAAAAAAAAATAAAAAAAACGTCACTGCTCCAGGCAGGCTTTTTGACAAAGGACCTCCATTATACTAGCTTATTTTGCCTACTAAAATGCTATGTTTGGCCATTTTTAATATTTGGTTTTATTAATATACTCACAGGAGGTGGAGTCTTCTGCAAACACTCTAATAAATAAACCATCTTTGCTTCCTCCTTCACATATTCCACTTCCTGAAAAAATGTAAAAGGCATGACTTGAATGTGATAATACCAAAACATTTTACATATTGTGTTTCAATAGCTATGTGTTCATGCCATTTACTAGACATGTTATATTGTACAAGCTTTGAAAAAGGAATGTATAGAAATTTAAACAGAAGTGTCTCACTTGTATCACATCCAAGCTGGCAGCTCCTGCTCGCCCCACGTTAATGGTGACTGGCTTTACAAGGGCACTCTTTGCAAAGTTCTGGATCTTCTTGGGCATGGTTGCACTAAAAAGCAGTGTCTGTCGCTGACCCTATATATGTATAGAGATATACAGTAAAGAAGTCATAAAAAAGACAGTGAAAAATTGGCCTATTTAAAGCCCAACTGTAGATTTTCTTTGACTCTAAAAAAGTTAAATTAAAGAGCATACACCTATTTTTAATGTATTACTATTTCTGATCAGATAGCACAACAGCACTTGCCACAAATTCTTAATTCCATCAGCAAGCTTCAGTCTTCTATAGATACCCAAAGTTTAGCTTTAAGAATATAAAAAGTGCATACAGTGGGTATAGAAAACAATCACCCCCCTTTAAAATAATCACATTTTGTTGCTTTGTAGCCTGAACTGCAAAACTGGTCAGAAAGGCTACCAAGAAGCGACAACAATATTACAAATTCTCCACAAATGTGGCTTGTATGGGAGGGTTGCAAGAAAAAAGCCACTCCTCAAGAAAGGCCACATGCAGTCAGAACTGAGCTTTGCCAAAACGCACCTTGAAGATTCTGAGGCCACATGGAAAAATGTATTACGGTGAGATGAGACTACATTTGAATTATTTGGCCTCTAAACAACATTTTTTGGCAGAAATCCAATACAGCTCACCATCCAAATAACACTATTCCTACAGTACAGCATGGAGGTGGTAATATCCTGGTTTGGAGGTGTTTGTCTGCAGCAGGGACTGCAGCACTTGTCCGAACAGAAAAAAAAAAAATAAGATGGGACAAAATACCATCAAATGCTTGAGGAAAATCTGCTGCCCTCTGTCAGAAAGTTGTCAATGAGAAAGGTTTATCTTCCAACATGACAATGGCCCAAAGCACACAGCAAAAATGGAGAAAAGGGTGAATGTCCTTGTATGGCCTAGTCAGAGCCCAGACTTAAACTTCATTGAAAATCTGTGGAATGACTCAAAGACTGCAGTCCACAAAATGGTCGCCATCAAACTTACCTGAACTTGAGCAGTTATGCAAAGAAGAGTGGGCAAACATTGCCTAAAGCAGGGGTATTGAAATAAAATTCAAGGAGGTCCGGTCACTAAAATTTTCTTCTGGCCGAGGTCGAATAGGGTGTGCCCATCAGTGTGCCCCCTTACATTAGGTGTCACCATCAGAGTGCAACTTTACATCATGTATTACCATCACATCAGGTGTGCCCATCAGAGTGCTCCTTTACATTAGTTGTCCCCATCAGAGTGCTCCTTTACATTAGTTGCCCCCATCAGAATGCCCCTTTACATCAGGTATCCCCATCACATTGCCATCTTACATCAGGTATCCCCATCACATTGCCACCTTACATCAGGTATTCCCATCAGAGTTCCCCCTTACACTCAAAGTACCCCTTTCTATCATATTTCCCCGGCATAGTGCCCCTTTCCACAGTATGTGCCCATTTGTGCCGCCTTAATATAAAATGGGCCCATCGGAGTGTCCCTTAACATAAAATAAGGGCACTCTGATGAGCACATTTCTATTAAGGGGCGCTCTGATGAGCACATTTCTATTAAGGGGCGCTCTGATGAGCACATTTCTATTAAGGGACGCTCTGATGAGCACATTTCTATTAAGGGGCGCTCTGATGAGCACATTTCTATTAAGGGGGCGCTCTGATGAGCACATTTCTATTAAGGGGCGCTCGATGAGCACATTTCTATTAAGGGACGCTCTGATGAGCACATTTCTATTAAGGGGCGCTCTGATGAGCACATTTCTATTAAGGGGCGCTCTGATTAGCACATTTCTATTAAGGGGCGCTCTGATGAGCACATTTCTATTAAGGGGCGCTCGGATGAGCACATTTCTATTAAGGGGCGCTCTGATGAGCACATTTCTATTAAGGGGAACTCTGATGGGCACATTTATATTAAGGGGCACTCTGATGGGCACGTTTTCTATGGGGAACTTAAATTTATATTAAGGCACTCTGATGGGCACGTTATGTTAAAGGGCACTCTGATGGGCACATTTTATGCTGTGCCCATCAGAGTGCCCCTTAACATTTAATGTGCTCATCCGAGTGCCCCTGTAAGACTACACCCTACACCTTGAGGTCAGACAGGAGCTGTGCCGGGATCCTTGCTGGACGCTTGTGTTCAGGCAGGGAGCGGCAGCCAGAGAGACAGTGAGCTGAAAGGGGCGGGGCGCACACGTGCTGTCATGTTGCCGTGACGACCGCCCTGCTCAGTGGCGGATCTGTCATTGCGGGCTGGTGGTTCGGGAGGCAGTGCTGCTGGGGCTGTTCGCGGACCACGGTCTGCCATTTCGTGACCGCTGGTCTAGAGTTTAGATGTGCAAGGTTAGTAGAGACATATCCGAACAGACTAAAGGCTGTAATTAAAGCAAAAGGCAGTTCAACAAAACTACCAACACAAGGGGGTGATCGTTTTTTTCAACTCAGTGATTGTTTTTGAATTTAAAAAAAACTAAATTTCTGACATATTGGGTGTTAGATCTTTCACTTGAATGTTATACAGCTGGATAAAACAAAAACTGTGCCTGTCTTCATTTCAGGCTGCAAAGCAACAAAATGTGATTATTTTAAAAGGGGGGTGATTCTTTTCTATACCCACTGTAAATACTTTATGCTCTGCTGGAATTTAAACCATGTGTCACAATGAAGACTAGTAGGGGAAAGGGATTGGCTGCCCCATGCAAATGGAAGCTGCTGATAAGAACAGTCAACAGAAGAGGAAGCAGAAAACAGTCAATTTTATAATCGGTAGGGAAACCTTTATATTAAGAAAGACAGATTACGAATATGCTTGGAGATCTTAAATAACACTGTATAATTTCACCTATACTCAGTGTTTAGCTTTGATTGAAATGTAAAAAATGATGATGTATAGAAACCCACAGAAAATGTCTCCTTTTGTTAGAGTAGCAAAGACCTGAACATAAAATCAGGTCATGTGTAAGCATAAATTGAGGCGTCTCCCCCCACCCCCCACACACACAAGAAAAAACAAACTGCAGGTCAAAGTACAAGAATAGTAACCTTAAAGTATGAAAAAATGGTCCTAATATCCTCTTCAAAACCCATATCAATCATACGATCAGCCTCGTCCAGAGCCAGATACCTGCAGATATCCAGGCTAACCATCTTTTTCTGTAGGAGGTCCATAAGCCGACCTGGAGTTGCCACCATCATGTGAACTCCCCTAATAAAAAGGAAAAAAAAAAAAGTTTATATGTGTTTGGCAGTTTTTTCCAGGTGTAGCTTGCTTCTATTGTTGCTATACATTACACTTGAAAACAACATAAAAAGATTTTCTAAAAGCAGGAAGACCGCTTAATTGCAAAATATAGAAAGCTACAGATCTGGGATGAATTCATTTAAAGGATGTACTAAACAATTGTTTTAACCTGATAACTAGCCAATGCTGCTATGCCTATTGGTCCAACAATGATTCAATTATTGGTTATTAGATAAAGACTTTTTTCCCATCCTTTATTTTTCTCTTGGCTGTTTACCATTTACAACATAAACTTACAAACACATTCCCAGCGTACAGTAGAAAATACACTTTTTTTTAATTTTTTTTTTTTAAACTCTTATGACATAAGGCTGCATGTCCTACATTTGTTAATAAACTACAGGGCAATTTTAATGTTAAGACAAATTAAGATATCTGGACTAAATATGCTAGTAAAAACAGGCCCCATTTCTTAATGCATTGGCTTGTAAAAATCAGATTGGTAGTTAGAAGCAACAGGTATATAATTACTCTTTGCACTAGTATTGATGCAGGTTTTAGTATTATCTTGTTAATTATACATTCAGCTACAGTATATAAAGTGCTACATGTGGCAAGCTAATGCTCTCAAAGAGGTATTAAAGTATTAAAGGTTATTAAAAAACGTTGAAAACACTAACAAGTCCTTACAGATACCTCACTACATCTAATGCAGAGATTGTATTACAAAAGACAAGAAAAATAAGTACATCAAATATCAGCCAAGCACCCTTCAAAGCTTCACAATAGTATAATCACAACGATTTATTAACTAAGCAGCACTGTTGAAATGACTGCTTACTCATATGGCAAGCCTAAGCATATGTACCACTTTACAGAAGAATGAAGGCCAGTAGTAACACAGCATGAGAAAGATAGATACATGAAGAATACACTAGAAGAAGACTGAGTCAGGGTCCTGAGTGCATAATGTTTGGTATATTTTTATGTTCAAGACAAAAATAAAAAGCTTTTGTATTTTTATTTCTTTTTAATTATTTACCACTACAAACAGGTAGCAAACACAAGACTATAACTCAGGTTTTCAGGTAGATTTTCTGCTTTATGAAAAGCCTGTGTTGTGAATAAACCAAAATAGCAGGGAAACCAATTACATATTCACAACTGAATTATGCCAATGAAGTGACACCACCTTCCAATCTCTTTGAAGAGAAGACCAATCTACAATTTTAATTTGCAAAGCAGTCAACAAGTGCACATGCAGTGCTCTGCTTTTTTTGCTAAAAAGCCAGGTATGCTCTGCAAGTACCCCTGTATTAAATATATGTATAATGAAGATTCAACACAGATAATGAATAAATACCGTATATACTCGAGTATATGCCGAGTTTTTCAGCACATTTTTTGTGCTGAAAAACGGCCCCCTCGGCTTATACTCGAGTCAACGTCTGCAGATGTCTAGCAGGGGGCGCTGCTTCTAAAGTCAGTGCTTCTCAAATAGTGGGGCGCGCCCCGGCTCCGTTAAGGGGGGCGCATACAGGGGTGGGCAGAGGGCTGCTGTCTCTTACCTGGCTCCCACGATGATCCATCCGTCACTCCGTCACTCCGGCCACTCCCTCACTCCTGCCGCTCAGCTCCGCCTCCTCACCGGTGATTGGCCGCCAGAACTGTAGCTCAGGAAAGGTACACAGGCGGCCAATCACGGGCGAGGAGGCGGAGCCGAGCGGACCCGCGAAAATCGAGTGAGGGAAAAGCCGGTAAGTGTGCAGTGCAGAGGTGCTGCTGCAACCACATATGCTGGCTGCAGCAGCGCCATACTGCAACAGGGGTCAGCAAGTGTCATTGGTGTCAGTGGGAGGAATAGTGCCGCATCATTGGTGTCACTGATACTAATAATGGGGCATTATTCCTCCCACTGACACCAACAATGGGGCACTATTCCTCCCACTGACACCAACGATGGGGCATTATTCCTCCCACTGACACCAACGATGGGGCACTATTCCTCCCACTGACACCAACGATGGGGCACTATTCCTCCCACTGACACCAACGCTGGGGCACTATTCCTCCCACTGACACCAACGATGGGGCACTATTCCTCCCACTGACACCAACGATGGGGCACTATTCCTCCCACTGACACCAACGATGGGGCACTATTCCTCCCACTGACACCAACGATGGGGCACTATTCCTCCCACTGACACTAACGATGGGGCACTATTCCTCCCACTGACACCAACGATGGGGCACTATTCCTCCCACTGACACCAACGATGGGGCACTATTCCTCCCACTGACACCAACGATGGGGCACTATTCCTCCCACTGACACCAACGATGGGGCACTATTCCTCCCACTGACACCAACGATGGGGCACTATTCCTCCCACTGACACCAACGATGGGGCACTATTCCTCCCACTGACACCAACGATGGGGCACTATTCCTCCCACTGACACCAACGATGGGGCACTATTCCTCCCACTGACACCAACGATGGGGCACTATTCCTCCCACTGACACCAACGATGGGGCACTATTCCTCCCACTGACACCAACGATGGGACACTATTCCTCCCACTGACACCAACGATGGGGCACTATTCCTCCCACTGACACCAACGATGGGGCACTATTCCTCCCACTGACACCAACGATGGGGCACTATTCTTCCCACTGATACTAATGATGGGGCTTATACTCGAGTCAATAGTTTTTCCCAGTTTTTTGTGGTAAAATTAGGTACCTCGGCTTATATTCGGGTCGGCTTATACTCGAGTATATACGGTAATATACAACAGTCTATAAATGTTTAACATAAAAAAAATATATTAATAAAATTGCCCTAAACCATTAAATACCTTTTTAGAAGAATATAACTTGGCTGAAGAAACCAGTAATTCAATTACATTTTAGGCTCAGCCAGTGACTACTGTATTAATAGGAGTGGTAGGGGTAAATATCCAAGCAGAGATCCCAGACAGCAGAAAAAAAAAATGTGCAGTAGAAGCAATATCTGCCTTTACTGCACTTACAAAAAGGAGAAATTTGTATTGGGTGGCCATGTTTTCTACTGACATGCAGATCGATATATGTTGTGTGTTTGACACTTGTGTAAGAAATGAAGACTTACTGCTTAATGGTTTCCATTTGCTCTTTGACAGACATGCCACCTATACAAAGCGCTGTACGCAAAGTTGGGAAGTTGTCTTCTTGCAACAATTTGCAAAAATACTCAATGATGCTGTGTGTCTGACGTGCCAACTCTCTCTGTGTGAGACAAAAAACAGATACAAATAAAAAGTAAATCATAAGAAAAGATATTAAAGCTTGGTATGGCAAAGTGAAATCTTCCAACACCTTGTAGATTCCTAATTAATGCCAAAACTGTTTGGATAGACTGGGGAAGGTTTAGAGTGCTCATTGGGAAAGTTTTTCCCCATTTTTTGGCACATGTGTAGAATCCCTAATTTGAGCCTGCACTTTGCCCATACCATAAAAACCCCAACAAGCTGCACATACTTACCTTTCCTTTACCCCCATCCACAAGGTTTTTTTTTTGCTCCCATAGACTAAACAGTGTCCTGCATGGGCAATGCTCAATCAGTGTTTCTATCAGTGTTCAGTAGAGCACTGGTTAAAGCTGATAGGAGTTTTCTTTCTGCTCTAAAGGAATGCAGAACCCCTGACCTCTGTCTGGACATTGCTGATAGGCCCTGTGATCACATGCACTCTGCAAATGCTCAGTTTGGGGTGTATTGCTAGAGAGGTTTGTTTTTTTTCTTGGCAGAGTGTCTCCACAGAAATGTCTTATCAGGAGAATGGGGGGGGGGGGGGGGCACTGGAAAAAGGGGAGGATCAGAGAAGTTGGGATTGTAACAATTGTGCGCAATAGGGACATGGAACCTGTACGCGACAGCCATTTTTGTTTTTCATGAGCAATGACCTTCATCACCTCAGCCCTCCCGAAAACTATGGAATTTGTAGCTGTAACTTAAACTTCAAAAGAAACTCTTATCTTAATTTAAACACAGAGCTGGCCAGGCTGTAAACAGCTACTTAGTCTTGGCAAGATGTCTGTTTCCACCAACCAAGGAAAACAGTATCGTAAAACAATAATAACTCAGTCAAGCCTTCACACATGATCTGTAAGGCCATTAAGGCTCCACATACAAGTCATAAAATTAAACAGGAATGGGACACATTAATATTAAGTATATATTTGAATGGGGAATATCATACCGAACAAATCAAGGTCATACATGACTATGTTAGCACATAGGAAAGGGAAGAAAGCAATCTCCTGCCTCCTGGGTGACAAGGTACGCTGTGTTTGGTATCCCTGTGTTCGAAATACAATTCTGAATATTAATCTGCCAGTTGCTAGAATACCACCTGCATATTCTGGAAGTTATTAATATTAGTATGAAACTGTAGTTGAGACTTGGTCATAAATTTGGTGACCTCCTAGCACCCATCCCCTAAACCAGATGATTGGTCAGTTGGTCTCTGGCGACACCCCTTTGATATCATAGAAAAGGGACTGACTGGATCTAGTAACAGAGCTCTCATTTAACTTAAACCAAGGAACATTCGCGGCCTCGGCTGTCAATCATCGGGTCCCAGCCAGTGATTAGTCGCTGGCACCCGGTGATTGCCAAGCATCTCCAACGGGGGAACTATTTGTAAACAAAACAGTTCTCTCACCTGTCAGCTCCTGCACACTGCTTTGCATGGCTGTGCAAAGCAGTGTTGCATACTGGGCTGTGTTTGTGCTTCACTGTAAGCAAACAGCACACAGTTAACCCTTTGATCACCCCACTTTAACCCCTTCCTGCCCAGTGCCATTAGTACAGTGTCAGTGCTTTTTATTAGCACTGATCACCGTATTGGTGTCACTGGGGATGTCAGTGACACCAAGTCAGTTCCCCCCAGTGTCAGAATGCCCGCCACAGTCCCGCTATAAGTCGCTGATTACCGCCATTACCAGTAAAAATAAATAATAATAAAAAAAAAACAAACAGTATATATACCGCCAATTGTAAATGCTACAACTTTCAAGTAAACCAATTAATTTACATGTATTGGGATTTTTTTTGTTTTTTTAATCAAAGACATGTAGCAGAATACATTTTGGCCTAAATTTATGATGAAATTAGATTTTTAAAATTTTTTTACTGGACATGTTTAAAAGTCAAAAAGATTTTTTTTTTTTAATAGCGCAAAAAAAAACGCAGAGGCAATTAAATACCTGCGAAAGAAAGCTCTATTTATGGGGGGGGAGGGGGGAGGAGGAGAAGGACATAAATTTCATTCAGGTACAATTGTAAATCCTCAGGAGGGCAAGTGGTTAAAGCAGTAGTAAACCGCATGTATGTGTATATATGGCAAAATGTATTCTTGCTTCCACGTTTGGGGTGACACTGAAAGTGCGACTAGCTCAATTTAGGTGTATAAACGTGGCCATACACTATATAATCTGAATGTACAAACTCCTTTAGATTTACCAAAACTATGCAATAGAAAGACCCACCCATCTATCCATTCACTCTGTATCCAATCAGACAGGACCTTGCACTACGTCAGGGGTGTCCAATTCACAGCGCAGAGAGTTTAGCATGTGGCACAGGCCCTTTTGGAGGAACGCTGGGCACTTTAAATTGACTAGCCAGTCAAATGAATGTGTGGAGGGATGCTGGGATACCGCCCAAACCAAGTTGATGTGTGCAGGGTGTGCATTAATGAGGTCAGCTGGTAAACAGCTTCCGGTGTCTTATGTCCCAAATCTACATATCAGGAAGTCTCTGATGCTTTCTAAGGAACACAGCAAGGACTAAGGTAAGGCCTTGATTTGAAAATCAAAAGAAAGCTTTTATTTTTCTGCAACTGAAGAACATTAAATTGTATACTGGTACATAGGGGAGCTTCATTTTGGGGGGGGGAAAAAAAGGTTAGCCTTAAGGTATGAAAAATGTCCTGTTTACCTGAAGGATTTGAACAAAAAACAGGCAAAACTATTTCCTGCACCCGATGATAGCTCGTGGCCACCTTGGGCAGAAATCCCAGATCTGATCTAAAGACCACACAGTCCAAGTAAACTTGCAAAAGCAGAGCTTTAACTGAAACAGCCTCCAATCCACTCATCCTCTGGGCTGTCATCACTGCAACTAAAAAATACTGTGTTAAGGGTCAAACTTTATAAAAACAGACTTGACTAGCTCAAAAGGGACACTATGTCTATGCCTGCAGCACTACTGCCAAGTCCCATTTAGGGAAAGGTGGAGACAGGACTGGCCTCTGCCTGAACAGAAACTTGAAAAAAGTATAACTAAAGGCTCCTTGGCTCAGGGTTCTTCTAAGAACACACTCAGAGCTGTCATCTGGACCTTTAGAAAACTAAACACTAACCCCTTGTTTGCTACACTCTGTAGGAACTCTAACACCACCATAGAGCTTGGAGTATCAAAAGTTTTCTTACTGCACCATCTATTGAAAAGTTTCCAGACCTTTATACAGACCCCGTCACTATTTTCCTACTCCACAATAGGATGATCACAAGTTGATTTGAAAATCCCTTATCCTTTAGCAGCTGCTCTTCCGTAACCATGATGCCAGATTTCACTTCTTCACCTGAGGACATAGGACCCTGACCCAAGGAGGATCTACTGCTAAACTATTTAAACCAAGCTCTCTTCTGGACCAGTGAGGAGCAACCAGAATTAAGGAGGTCCTCAGTATCGCTGCCGCTAAAAGGGTGGGGGGGAGGGGGTATAGCACAGGGGAAACTGCCAAGTGTTTAAACAGAGCATCCACCCCGAGAGATCCGTCCCATCGGTTTAGAGAAAAAAATAACAGCACCTTGGTGTTCTCCCTCATGGCAAATAGGATTACCTGAGGTGTAGCTTTGAACACCTTCCAATTCAGCACCCATTCAAACACTCTCAGCTGACACCTGCTGAGGTAGTCTGCCAGCTGATTTACTTCTTTTTAATGTACAGCTGAAAAGAAAGCTGGATTTAATTCTGCCTATTGGAGCAGTTCCTTCTCCACCAGCAACAAAGCCCTGCTTTTGGTGCCCTCCCCCTTGTTACAATACACTAAGACAGTGGACAGTTGTCCGAGAGGACCTGCACATGCTAACCCACCAGATCTACCTACCACCTTTCCGGTCTCTCCAGTTTGAGGACTTCCTTGCCTCCCTGTCCTCCCATGTGCCCCGAGTAAATTTTGACCCTAGATGGGCTCCCCATCCTTGCCTCCGTTGTAACCTGCTTGGCAATAGGAAGAACCCAGAAGAGCCCCTGAAATAGGTTTGCAGACTTCCTCCACCACTAGAGGGCCCTCTTGACCTGGACTGAACTCTAGTGCAGGGGAAGGATACCTTAAAGAGGTGGAGAGCTACCTAAACAACATGGGAGAAGTCAAAGATCACCAGGTACAGTGTAACCTCCTTGCACCAGATTTAAACCTAATTGCCGTACTACCACATCAAAATTGCGTGCATTGTACGTCAATCATGGGTTTAAAATCGCCTCCTCACCACCTGTCAAACACACTCGGATCATTTTTCAGAAGAGCAGTAGTGCTTACTGCACTTGTAAATGAGCCCTTAGTTGCATTTGGCAGCGGTACCCTTAGGGCTCATTCACACGTAAAAGTTGGAAGGGGGTAAGACCCTACAGTTGAGTTGCAGTTCTACCACACCCAATTCCTACCCCCTTTAGGTGCTGAGGCAGCAGCCAAAAGGTGTACACATGCTGTAGAAGGAATTAAACCCCTGTTGCTTTTGTGGGTGCTACTGCCTGCCAATTGCAATCCATTTCAGTATATGGGGTCACTCTGCAAGTGCCCTGCAACTATATGCTTCTGCGGGCCCAATAGATTACAGCTGGTAAGAAAACAACACAACGCTGCCTGCTTTAAATCCTTGTTTGCTTGTACTGCACAAGGTAGCAGGACACTTGCAGAGTGGCCTTATTCACTTGAATAGGTCATGCTTGGCAGGTGCTACACCCACCAACCATGACAGGGCGTATAACTCTTGCTGCAGCTGCAACATGTGCAAATCCCTGGCCACTGCAGCTAAAGGTGGTGCGGTTGGGGCAGTAAAACCACGTCTTAACTATGCAGTTTTACCACCTCTCAAACTGCAAATGTAAAATGATCTCTTACTGTTTTGAACTCCCTAGAAGGCTGCTTTTACATAGATGCAGCGCAGTCCATCTAGGACTTTCCTAGGTTAGCTGTGCTTTTCCATAAACTTTTATTATGCTGCAGGTGTAGTGCAGTTTATGACAGTTCACCAAAACTCCAGCATTTAGGAGTTTTTGTGCGCTTTCAGAAAGTGCACCAAACCCACAAGATATATTAGAAGTCTATGGCTAAGCACAGCAAACCCCCAGGAAACTAGCAGGTACACTGCACCTGCAGTGTGAGTAAACCACAGCACATCAGTGTAAAAGCAGCCCTATACTATTATACCCAGTGTATTGCTTCAAACTGACCTGAAGATCTCTCCTTTCCTGCTGCTGGCACCCACTTTGGAGACCTCTAGCTAGGATAAGAGGTGGAGTGCAGTTGGTATTACATGGGACAGGAACCAGCACTACAGAGGAGGCATCGGCTTATGCTGCTTACTATGGCTCCAACTTTACAAGCAGTTCCACTACATTACACTCTGTCTGATGCTCTGGCATGGCAGGTCAGTAAGACCAGTTACCTGGCCACGATCTACGGGTTGCTGACTCCCACACTAGGGACTCATGCTGATGATCCCATACCCTGTGGATAATGTGCTGCATGGGACGCAAATGCAGTCCCACCCATCAAACAGCAAGGATCGAGAATGTCAGCAGTCCCAGGGCTGATATGGCCACCCTTATGGACTAGGGCAGATTCCACTGAAAGCAATGTCCTACTGTGTCCATCTTTGAGATCTGTTCCTCAGGTAAAATCACTTTCTGTTGCGTGGAGTCCAACACATTGCCCAGAAAAGTTACTACCTTTCCATTTTGTTTGCCAAGCTTCTTGCACGTGTAAACATAACATTTGATCTTGTATTAGTGTTTATTATTCCACTAATACTAATTTTTGAGCTATAATTTGATGCCACTTATTTTGTATTGGACAAAGGTGATGCGATTCCTCTGCTATCTAGTTTGAGCCCCGCTCAGGACCCAGGACTATTACTTCCTGGTCACTGTGGTAGCCTCTGATTGGCTATCAAAGTGATTAGTCACTGTGAGCCCTCCCCTGTGTTTACTTGCAGGAGAGGAAGATATAAACAAACAAAAAAAAGTGTGTAAAAAAAAAAAAAAGAAACAAAATTAAAGAAAAAAATAACTAGATTAAGGCCTGCCAGGGTTAGTACTGGGGATAAAGGTAAATGTCCCGGTCCATGTCAAAGATAATGGTCAGTATATTTTGGGTAGAATTAGGTAAAAAAAAAAAAAAATTTCAAAAATTAGTACCAGGGTCGGTTAGTGTCTGCGTGAGTGTGTTTTTAGACAGGATAAGAAAAATGCAAAATGCGCACTATTGTTTCTGGGCCTTACTACCAGTACAAACAACAACTAACACTTCCAGAAATGTTAAACTTTTAAAACTTTGCCAGTGGCTGCAGCAGTGGAGGATGAAGGAATTCAGACATGCTGCCCATCGGAGCAGTAGGCATTTCCCAGTCTTTACTACGCAGAGACATTGCTTAGATTTTGTTTTATTGGAAGCGAAGGGTGCTTCTTTTATAGGAAGTGTTTGTAAAGGCAAAATTTTTATTTTTTAAATATAAACAAATATGTTCTACTTATCTGCTCTGTGCAAACTGTTTTGCACAGAGCATCCCCAATCCTCCTCTTCTCAAGTCCCCCGACAATGCTCCTGGCTCCTCCCCCCCACTGAGCAAGCCTTTTTCTATGGGGCACTCATGTGTGCTTGCTCCCAAGCCCTGCTTTCTGTGTCCATTAGACACAGAGCGTGGCTCAGCCTTGCCCCTCGCTCTCTTCTCACTGGCTGCGATTGACAGCAGTGGGAGCCAATGGCTCTTGCTGCTCTCAGCCAATGAGGAGTGAGATCAAGATCGGGCTCAGATAAGGATTAGGGGGGGCTGCACACACTGAAGGTTTTTTACCTTCATGCACAGAATGCCTCAAGGTAAAACATCTTCCGCCCTTAGAATCACTTTAAGTTGTGGAGGGATAAGGTTAGGTAGGGTTACAATAATTAAAACTAGTAATAATCTTGGGGGTCCCAAATCAATTCGATTAAGTTTGATTGGAAATTCATAATGAATGGTGAGCCCAGCATGGGATATATTTATGGGCATGTTTGGTTATTTACTGCAACGAATCCACAATCCGGATAAAAGCGAAGTTTGCTTTGATTATACATGGGAGAAGCAGCTCAGCCCCTGGATTCCCAAAACTAAACAATTTTTAAAATGTATCCTTGTGGATATATTGGGTTTATGGTGTGCTATAGCTTCAGTCCAATGATTGTGTTTTAATAATTTCTGGGAAGATAAAGAATTAATTTTATGATGTGCAATGATAGGAGATTGCTCACCATTTTCTAAATTTATGTATCTGTAGATGATACTTAACTAGTTTGTATTTTACACACTGTAAAAAGAGAGTGGCACAGAAAGTACAATATCTGAAGATTGAAATACCGATGGGCAAATGATGAGTCCATAGGGCCCTTCTCTCTTTGTGAAAGGTAATCTCTTTTCTTGCTCCAAACAAAACATAATGACAGGCAGGGTGAACACCAGCGTTTTTCCAGAGCCAGTAAATGCAATGCCGATCATATCCCTTCCTGATAAGCTGCAATAAAAGTTAATAAAAGTCAATATAAAACTTACTGTACTCACTTCAACCTTTTTGGCTGCCAGGGCCATTTATGCATTTTTTATACACATTTAAAAAACAATTTTAGGCCTGAAAAATGGTAAACCCCCCCAAACAGTATATATTTTCTAAAGCAGGCACCTTAGAGACTACAGTAGTGGTAGTTTCAATTTCCAATGTCACACAATATTAGCATACTGGTTTATGAAATGCTGAATTTCTGTAAAAATACAAAGTTAATTGTAGGGCATACAAATGCACTATATTAGCCAATTTTCTGATAAATTATATGATTAGATTGCCCTAGTAAATAGATACCCAACATGTCAAGGTTAAAATTGCATGTGCCTGTGAAATGGAGACAAACATCAGTATCTATACAGGAAATAAAACAAAACAAAAAAAACTTTAAAAGCCCCTAGAGGTCATCAGTTTACAGTTATAATGGAACTAGAATTATTGCTCTCACTGTGGTGCACATGGCGATACGTAACATGTGTATCAAAATCAATGTTTTTGTGCGTGCGTGCGTTGGAGTGGAAGCTCAATCATTTTTACTGGGTGTTTGAAGTGCTTGGGTGTAACTTTAATTTTTTTTTTTTTTACTTTTTCAAAACTTTTTTCACTAAACTTTATATTTCATCACGTGATGATTTTTTTTTCTGTGACAGGCTCTGTTTAATGAGACACCAGGGGCTAAGGAAAGTGACACCAGGACCCAGAAGTGACATTTTATACCTTTCCCTCTACCTGGTGGCACCTGCTATGTTGGTCCCAGGTCCACCGATGGGCGGATAAAGCCAGGGAAACATGGCAGGTGCATGCAATAGAAGAACGCAGGTGTGTGGAGGCAATCTAATAGCTGCACAGCTGCTTTGTCAGATTTACACTCAGGGCGGCTACCTCCTAACATCTTCTGGGACCTCTCAAACCTCTCCTTTCTTTTCCCCCATCACTTCCATATTTTTGGAAAGAGCAGTGTTTGTTACAGTGCATCCAGAAAGTATTCACAGTGCTTAACTTTTTCCACATTTTGTTGTTACAGCCTTATTGCAAAAAATTGATTAAATTCATTTTTTTTTTTTCCCTCAACATTCTACAAACAATACCCCATAATGAAAGAAGTTAGTTTTGAAATCTTTGCAATTTATTAAAAATAAAAAAAAACCACATGTACATAAGTATTCACAGCCTTTGCTCAATACTTTGTTGAAGCACCTTGAGCACCAATTACAGCCTTAAGTCATTTTGAGTATGATGTTACAAGCATGGCACACCTATTTTTGGGCATTTTCTCCCATTCTTCTTTGCAGTACCTCTCAAGCAGCTCTATCAGGGTGGATGGGGAGCGTCGGTGCACAGCCATATTCAGATCTCTCCAGAGGTGTTCAAATCGGGTTCAAGTACGGGCTCTGGCTGGGCCACTCCAGGACATTCACAGAGCTGGCCCGTAGCTACTCCTTTGTTATGTGGGCTGTGTGCTTAGGGTCGTTGTCCTGTTGAAAGATGAACCATCGCCCCAGTCTAAGGTCCAGAATGCTATGGAACAGGTTTTCATCAAGGACGTCTATGTACATTGCTGAATTAATCTTTCCTTTGATCCTGACTAGTCTCCCAGTTCCTGCCGCTGAAAAACATCCCCACAGCATGATGCTGCCACCACCATGCTTCACTGTAGGGATGGTATTGGCCAGGGGGTGAGCGATGCCTGGTTTCCTCCAAACATGACACTTGGCATTCAGGCAAAGAGTTAAATCTTTGTTTCATCAGACCAGAGAGTTTTGTTTCTCATGGTTAGAGTTCCTCAGGTGCCTTTTAGCAAACTCCAGGCGGGCTGCCATTTTCCTTTTACTGAAGAGTGGCTTCCGTCTGGCCATTCTACCACACAGGCCTGATTGGTAGAGTGCTGCAGAGAAGGTTGTTCTTCTGGAAGGTTCTCCTCTCTCCACAGAGAAAAGCTGGAGCTCTTTCAGAGTGACCATCGGGTGCTCGGTTACCTCCCTGGCTAAGGCCCTTCTCCCTTGATCGCTCATTTTGGCCTGGCAGCCAGTTCTAGGAAGATTCCTGATGGTTCCAAACTTCTTCCATTTACGGATGAAGGAGGCCTTATATAGAGAAGTTTATGCCTTTCCTAATCATGTCCAATCAACTAAATTTCCCACAGGTGGACGCCAATCAAGTTGTGGAAACATCTCAAGGACGAATAGTGGGAACAGGATGCACCAGAGCTCAATTTTGAGTGTCATGGCAAAGGCTGTGAATACTTATGTACGTGGTTTTTTTTTTTTTGGTTTTTTTTTTAATAAATTGCATAGATTTCAAAACAAACTTCTTTCATGTTGTCATTATGGGGTATTGTTTGTAGAATGTTGAGGAAAAAAAAATGAATTTAAACCATCTTGGAATAAGGCTGTAACATACCAAAATGTGGCAAAAGTTAAGCGCTGTGAATACACTGTAGCTGCAGTCATGTGCACTGAACTATACACACTAAAATACCAGAGTCTCTAGGCCACCTCAGGAGGAGGCTGGCTATATTCCTATATAAAAAGTACATACATACAGTGGGACCATATGGAACAACCGTAGCCACCCTCCAACAGGAAGTCTGATCACAATAGCAAAAAAACAAAAACCCACAAACATTTTAATGAGACTTTAAGCCCCTAAGAAACTAGAAAAAAAACAACACATATGGGTCAACTCTACAGCGTCTACCAAAAAGTAAACACACTTTTGGTAGGACTGACCCATTTAAGTGTTCAAACTTCCTCCTTATACCAAAAATGTAGGTTTAACCTTTGCTCTCAGCTTTGAGCAAAACACTGAAATAACAAGAAATCTACTCACATGGTAGGAATACCCTGGATCTGAATTGGAGTAGGATGCAGAATTCCTTTTTTCTTCAGCCCTCGTAAAATTGCTGAATACAAAATCGAATGCATAAGAAAAATGTCTATGGCAGCAATACTAAATGGGCAAATATAGCTATTCGTACTTACCAGCAGGAAACTTCATTTCCTTAAAACTCTTAATAGGTGGTGGAATCCCCTCACCTTCAACCAATATGTGGTATTTTCGCCGAACACGTTCATGGCGTGCTTGAGACATTGCTAGAATATTACGTGGAGCTCGCCAGCTGTCAGGATAGAAAAGAAAAAAGAAAAAAAAAAAAAAAAAAAAATATTTGAACTGAAAGAACTACTACAATATCTACAGAAAAACACTTGCTAAAATAAAATAGCACATTGGTGCAGCAGAAAAATAAGAGAAAAACTGTACTACAATAATATCTACAGATGTTCAAGATAAAGAAATCTCTGCTGCTGCTTGGGAAACCGCAATTTATACCTACCCCCAACTTTTATGTTTGTGAGAGTTGGACAGTTTAAAGTAAATAACACAAATACAACTGGTCTCAGCTAACATCCTAATGAGCTTCACACATCAAAAAACCGTAATCATAGGCCAATTACTATCCAAACATCACAAATGTCTCTATGGATGATCTTTGCATTCTATCACTGTGATATAAAAAAAAATGAAAAGATGGAAAAAAAGACAACATATAATTGCAGGCTCACTCCTGCTGTTATCAGTTTTCAGGACACCCACATCTAACAATTTCAAGAACGGTAAAAAAATCAAGACTCACCTAGTCTTTATAGGATCATCATAAGTGATTCCTTTAGCCATTTCCTTTACAGACATCAGAGCTGCAGAAAGTAAAAAATAATTAGAGAACATCAACTATCACAAACAAATCCCCAAGAATCAATCCATCTTGAAATAAATGTTGCAGAGATTTTGCAATGACTGAAAAGTTAGTGTCATAAATATAGGACTCTCCCTTCAAAAGCTATTGTAGAATGCGTTTTTTTTTCTAGTGCTTAGTTTCTAATGTTAGAGAACTGCGAACAAGTAAAATAGAAGTTAAATATTATAGAAGATGATGCACAAAGTAACATCTGACAGAAAACCCTAATTTTGGAATAAAGAAATACACTTAAATAAAAAAAATCTAAAACACCAAGTGCTTGCACAGACTGGTGTTGCTGCTTTTTACATCTGAATGTAGTGCTGTATAAATATTTCCCTTCTTGTGATAGCTTGGGTAGTAACAGATACTCTTTAAGGAGATATCAGGGTCTATAATACCCCTGATCCCTCCTCTGCCCTCCATGGCAGCCAGTCAATCAGAGATCTGTTTGATCAGCTGCTTCCCTTGCTGTACTGGCCAGGGAAAGACAGCACTGAAACTGGAAAGGGACAAAATCTTTATCACTTCCAGCTTAATTTGCAACAGAGGATGAGGGAATGGATGTTCCTCTTTCTGATCTGTGCACAGCCATCCTGACTGCTTGTGGTGGAACAGGAGAGGCCTGGGAACGGCGGCAGGAAAGGGGAAGCTGTGATCCTAATATAACGGCTTCCTGAACTGTAATGATACATCATCAGTTGTCATCTGATGTGTATATCTATGTTTTGTATGAGGAACAAACTGTATTCTACTTTTCGTTTATAACTAAAATGTTTGAAACTCAATAAATATTACTTGATATTATTTAAACTGAACACATTTACAAATAAAAAAAGTGCCATTTTCTTTAGTAGAACCCAACTTCTACTGCCCAGACAGCCAAGCTTGTGTATGTATCTTATATACCCAATTAGCACTACATAGTAGACAGTATCTGAAACTTACGGTTTGACAGTAAATTAAATATGCCCAAAATACTCACCTCTTCCCTTCTGTAACACTCTCCAAGATCTTCTCTTCTTCTTTCAGCTGCTTCTCTTTGGCAGATTCTTTTCTAGCTGTGAAATATATTCAATAATTATTACAGCACACAATGCTTGTTTAATTATCATTCATCAAAACTTGTGCAGATAATGACTTAGCACATAGGAAACGTTCACACACCTTCTGCTTTTTCTTTTAGATGCTGATGCTGATCCAAGAGACTGACATTAGACCGGGGTCCCAAAGGAATGTCATCTTCATCCCCTCGCAGATCACTTCCACTGTCCTGCTCTTCTTCTACAACACCCTTCTTTCGTATCTGTAGTCGCTTTCGGAGCTGCAATTTTGGCAATCATTAACATCCATCAAAATGTAAAAATAAATTTTGATGACCAATCTATGCTGTGATATTTAAAAAAATCATCTATATTTGAAAAGTCTCCAATATGCACTCTCGACTGCATATCTATCCAACCAAATTTCTACACCAAGCTTCTATATGAACAAAATTCTGAACTGACTCTTGGAATCCTGCAGCAAGCTCTATGCCACTGTATCCAAATCTCTAGCATGCTTTCAATACACATTCATTCTAGAAGCTGAAATCAAATTTCAGAATGCTTAGTCTGAACCTGCCAATGCCACCAGGTGACCTTTTAGGACAGAGAACAATTGGGAAAAAAGAAATAATGTGCCCTTTTGCCTCACATTTACTGTGGAATTTATGTAGAAACCATTCAAATGTTAAACTTAAATTTCAACTTGAAACCATTATAGAGTGCACTACTGCATTGCCCAATTCCAGGTTTATTCTCATGCCCACAGAAACTTGCTACTGATCCATTTATTGCCACTAAAGCGTGCTATAGCCAGGGATTGGAAGACAGTAGTGAAGAGCAACCCGACCACCTTGATGATAAATGAAAAGATGTCTGGCATTTTGCATGACTCCCATGCTACATTTCTTAAAGTGTGGACCTCTTGGTGGTCATACGCTCTTCCCACTCTGCACCTGACCAGCCTGAGCAACTGTTGACTGCTGAAGCCACCACCCAAGCCTGCAGGAACCCTCCCTTTCCAGTAACCAGTTTCTCAAGAGAACCCCCTCTCCCACTTTTCCTGTTCCCTCCACCCTCCCTATCCCCTGCTACACTGTACGCTGTTCCTTATGCATACATATTCCATGCACAGTAATTCACCTCAGATATCCCAATACACAAAGTATGAATACATAAAGTTATTCTACAATATTTCATATTTCCACATAAATTATCCTGACACTCACTTAAATCAACAAAAGGAAATGTGGATTGTGAAATACTATTATGTAGTCATACTTTATGTATTGGGATGTCTGGGATGAGTTACTGTGCATGAAATACAGTCAGGTCCATAAATATTGGGACATCAACACAATTCTAACATTTTTGGCTCTATACACCACCACAATGGATTTGAAATGAAACGAACAAGATGTGCTTTAACTGCAGACTGTCAGCTTAAATTTGAGGGTATTTACATCCAAATCAGGTGCACGGTGTAGGAATTACAACAGTTTGCATATGTGCCTCCCACTTGTTAAGGGACCAAAAGTAATGGTACAGAATAATAATCATAAATCAAACTTTCACTTTTTAATACTTGGTTGCAAATCCTTTGCAGTCAATTGCAGCCTGGAGTGTGGAACGCATAGACATCACACAACGCTGGGTTTCATCCCTGGTGATGCTCTGCCAGGCCTCTACTGCAACTGACACACATACACCTACCTCCTGGAGAGTGTTCTTGATCTGGCCAACTGTTGTGAAGGGTGTTTTCTTCACCAGGGAAAGAATTCTTCGGTCATCCACCACAGTTGTTTTCCGTGGTCTTCCGGGTCTTCTGGTGTTGCTGAGCTCACCGATGCGTTCCTTCTTTTTAAGAATGTTCCAAACAGTTGGTTTGGCCACGCCTAATGTTTTTGGTATCTCTGATGGGTTTGTTTTGTTTTTTCAGCCTAATGATGGCTTGCTTCACTTGATAGTAACAGCTCTTTGGGTCTCATCTTGAGAGTTGACAGTAACAGATTCCAAATGCAAATAACACACTTGAAATGAACTCTGGACCTTTTATCTGCTCATTGTAATTGGGATAATGAGGGAATAACACACAACTGGCCATGGAACAGCTGAGAAGCCAATTGTCCCATTACTTTTGGTCCTATAACAAGTGGGAGGCACATATGCAAACTATTGTAATTCCTACACCGTTCACCTGATTTGGATGTAAATACCCTCAAATTAAAGCTGACAGTCTGCAGTTAAAGCACATCTTGTTTGTTTCATTTCAAATCCATTGTGGTGGTGTATAGAGCCAAAAATGTTAGAATTGTGTCGATGTCCCAATATTTATGGACCCGACTGTATGTATGCATAAGGAAAAGCTAGAAATACACATTTATTTCATATAATCAGTTTCTGATTTGGTACCTTTAAAGTCATTTAATTTCTTTTCTGGTTAGGAAGCTTACACGTATTGCATTGAATCTCACAGATAAAAATTTAAATCTGCCAAAAAAAAAAAAAAATCAAGCTCAGTCTGATAAAACTAAAGTTTCCATGGTCAGACTGGATCTTGCAGAAAATACAAGCAATAAACTTATTATAGATTACAGAAAGTGGAACCAGTTTCCAGGGCTTTGATGGCACTAGATATTCTGCTACTATCAAACTTCACCTTCCACTGGCTTTATCGTAACACAGCTGATGGTTGGCTTGACTGTAAATGTAAACAACTGAACTTGCTTCTTGGTTGCACAAATTATTATTTAATCCAAAAATAAGAAACCAGAAAACAATATACCATCTGGGCTTTCCTCTCCTTGACAGTAATATAGGGTACATAGTCATCATCATCTGAAGATTCAGGCTCTTCATCCTCTGGATGGGCTCTCTGTGGAAACACAGGCATTAAATCACAGTAAGCTGTGTCTCAACATCTTCTGCTTTATAAAATCAACAATAACCCTCACTGTGTTTTAAATATACAAATGAACACTATACACTGGGCTGTTTCAATTTGTTTCATTCTTCTGTTTAAGCATGTAAGCGTTGCTTTGAATAAATAGGTTAGACATTTAGAAGAGTCTCTCTTAACCTATGTACCCCAATGAAAGTCTTGAAACAATTTTCAGGTCTCAAGGAACCCTTGCTAAGATTAGCTCATCCGGGGTCATTAGGAAAATGCCCTTTACATTGGTGGTCAGTAGAAAGAATGCCCTCTTTACAGTGACAGTTTCATTATCGCTCTTGGAGTTAGCTAAAAAGATCATTGTTGTCATGATGTTGGCTCTGCCAAGTGGCAATGGAGCTGGAACTATGCAAGCACCATTGGATGGGAGGACAATTAGCCACAGCTCACTGAACTGCTAGCAACCTCTGAAGGAATCATGGCAGAGGAAGGCTGTTTTAGAGGGTTAAATAATTATTCTTGATCAAACTTAAAGTGCCACCACAAATGGAAGGTTCTCCCACAAAAAACTACAGTGCCTTGAAAAAGTATTCATACCCCTAGAAATTTTCCACATTTTGTCATATTACAACCAAAAACGTAAATGTATTTTATTGGGATGTTATGCGATAGACCAACACAAAGTGGCACATAATTGTGAAGTGGAAAATGATAAATGGTTTTCAAAATGTTTTACAAATAAATATCTGAAAAGTGTGGTGTGCATTTTTATTCAGCCACCTTTACTCTGATATCCCTAACGAAAATCTAGTGGAACCAATTGCCTTCAGAAGTCACCTAATTAGTAAATAGAGTCTACCTGTGTGTAATGTAATCTCAGTATAAATACAGCTGTGCTGTGAAGCCCTCAGAGGTTTGTTAGAGAACATAAGTGAACAAACAGCATCCTGAAAGTCAAGGAACATACCAGACAGGACAGGGATAAATCTGTGAAGTTTAAAACAGGGTTAGGTTATAAAAAAAATATCCCAAGCATTGAACATATCATGGAGCACTGTTCAATCCTTGATCCAAAAATGGGATGAGTATGGCACAACTGCAAACCTACCAAGACATGGCCATCCACCTAAACTGGCAGGCAGAGTAAGGAGAGCATTAATCAGAGAAGCAGCCAAGAGGCCCATGGTAACTCTAGAGGAGCTGCAGAGATCCACAGCTCAAGTGGGAGAATCTGTCCACAGTACAACTATTAGTCGTGCACTTCACAAATCTCTGGCCTATATGGAAGAGTGGTAAGAAGAAAGCCATTGCTGAAAGAAAGCCATAAGAATTCACGTTTGCAGTTTGCGAGAAGCCATGTGGGAGACACAGCAAACATGTGGAAGAAGGTGTTCTGATCAGGTGAGATTTAACTTTTTGGCCTAAAAGCAAAATCGTTATGTGTGGCGGAAAATTAACACTGCACATGACTCTGAACACACTATCCCCACTGTGAAACATGGTGGTGATAGCATCATGTTGTGGGGATGCTTTTGTTCAGCAGAGAAAGGGAAGCTGGTCAGAGTTGATGGGAAGATGGATGGAGCCAAATACAGGGCAATCTTAGAAGGAAACCTATTAGCATCTGTAAAAGACTTGACTGGGGCAGAGGTTCACCTTCCATTAGGTCAACGACCCTAAACATATAGCCAGAGCTACAATGGAATGGTTTAGATCAAAGCATATTCATGTGTTAGAATGGCCCAGTCAAAGTCCAGACCTAAATCCAAGTGAGAATCTGTGGCAATACTTGAAAATTGCTTTTCACAGACGCTCTCCATCTAATCTGACAGAGCTTGAGCTATTTTGCAAACAAGATTGGGCAAACATTTCACTCTCTAGATGTGCAAAGCTGGGAGATACATCCCCAAAAAGACTTGCAGCTGTAATTGCAGTGAAAGGTGGTTCTACAAAGTATTGACTAAGAGGGACTGAATACAAATGCACACCACACTTTTCAGATATTTGTAAAAATTTATCATTTTCCTTCTACTTCACAATTACCCTATTTTTCGCTCCATAAGACGCACCTAGGTTTTAGAGGCTGAAAACAGGAAAAAAAATATTCTGAACTAATGGACTGCAGCCACAGTACAGGGGATGTCCAGAGACTGCGGACACAGTACAGGGGATGACCAGAGACTGCGGACACAGTACAGGGGATGACCAGAGACTGCGGACACAGTACAGGGGATGACCAGAGACTGCGGACACAGTACAGGGGATGACCAGAGACTGCGGACACAGTACAGGGGATGACCAGAGACTGCGGACACAGTACAGGGGATGACCAGAGACTGCGGACACAGTACAGGGGATGACCAGAGACTGCGGACACAGTACAGGGGATGACCAGAGACTGCGGACACAGTACAGGGGATGACCAGAGACTGCGGACACAGTACAGGGGATGACCAGAGACTGCGGACACAGTACAGGGGATGACCAGAGACTGCGGACACAGTACAGGGGATGACCAGAGACTGCGGACACAGTACAGGGGATGACCAGAGACTGAAGACACAGTACAGGGGATGAACAGAGACTGCGGACACAGTACAGGGGATGAACAGAGACTGCGGACACAGTACAGGGGATGAACAGAGACTGCGGACACAGTACAGGGGATGACCAGAGACTGCGGACACAGTACAGGGGATGAACAGAGACTGCGGACACAGTACAGGGGATGAACAGAGACTGCGGACACAGTACAGGGGATGACCAGAGACTGCGGGCACAGTACAGGGGATGACCAGAGACTGCGGGCACAGTACAGGGGATGACCAGAGACTGCGGGCACAGTACAGGGGATGACCAGAGACTGCGGGCACAGTACAGGGGATGACCAGAGACTGCGGGCACAGTACAGGGGATGACCAGAGACTGCGGGCACAGTACAGGGGATGACCAGAGACTGCGGGCACAGTACAGGGGATGACCAGAGACTGCGGGCACAGTACAGGGATGACCAGAGACTGCGGACACAGTACAGGGGATGACCAGAGACTGCGGAACAGTACAGGAGATGACCAGAGACTGCGGACACAGTACAGGAGATGACCAGAGACTGCGGACACAGTACAGGAGATGACCAGAGACTGCGGACACAGTACAGGAGATGACCAGAGACTGTGGACACAGTACAGGAGATGACCAGAGACTGCGGACACAGTACAGGAGATGACTGCTGACCTTTGGGAAGGGGGGGGAGCAGGTACCTGAATTTGACAGGTACCCGCTCTTACTTCCGCGGAGTTGTTCTTTGACCTTACCTGTTACCCAGTGCGCATGAGCGAGAAACGCTGCGCTTTGTGATTGGTCCGGCGGCTTCTGGGACCTGTCATGTGTCCCAGGTGCCGCCTTACCATTCACAAAGAGCACCGCTTCTTGCGCATGCGCACTTGGCACCCAGCTGTCAAGCCCAGCGCCCACACTACAGAAGCCAGGAAGACAGTGCGCCGCTGGATAGAGGAACAGGTAAGGTCCCGCTGCAGAGCTGAGCGGCCGGCCCGGTATTCTGACACGGCGGCGGTGGAAATACCGGACCGGCCGCTCCATATTCGCTCCATAAGACGCACTGACATTTTCCCCCCTTTTTTGGGGTGAAAAAAGTGCGTCTAATGGAGCGAAAAATACAGTATGTGCCACTTTGTGTTGGTCTATCACATAAAATCCAAATAAAATACATTTACATTTTTGGTTGTAACATGACAAAACGTGAAAAAATTCAAGGGATATGAATACTTTTTCAAGGCACTGTACATCAAACGCAAGCTGAAAAAGAAAAAAAAAAAAAGTGTAAAACAGGCAATAACGTCCTTTAAAATAAAAGGTATATATTTACAAAGAATTATTATTTTTTTTTTTTTTAATCAAAAACGAAGTAGCACTACAAACAAGAAATTGCTTGTACCATACAAGACACCCTTCAGTTTCTCCAAGACTTAACCAGTCTTGGTCATCAAGAAATACAATTAAATTGGAGGAAATGCTCCCTTGGCTGATCAGCAGAGCAGCTTTTACTTTCATAAGGAATCTCAGTGTAGCATAATCGAGCTATAAGATCTGCATGCTAACATTGCTTTAGTTCCTTGCATAGGAAGAAAAAAGCAGCACAGCCAAAGCAAGGTTAAGTGACAGAGCTCACTTTAAGTGTCACATAAAATGTTAGGGTTGGGGGACAGAAGGCCGAATTCAGTTTAAGGGCCCATAAAAACTGCTGCTTGTAATGGAGTTTTGTGTTTTGCCTGAAGAAACACCTAAGTATTATCCTTTAGTTCCATTTTAATTAGGACATTTAGAGGCATATTTTAAGCTCGGCATTTAAAGGCAGAAAAAAAACCCTTCTGGTTTGTGTTTTTGAGAGGAGTTTTCTTGCAAGAAAGAAACACTAAACACTCCTAAACAACTGTACAAAAACACTCAATATGAGTGTTTTTTCTGCCAAGCAAACTGAACTTTTTTAAGCCCAGTGTGTATTGACCCTAAAAGAAAAATTATCTCCTAAAACTTGGCCCACCACTTTGGCATAATCACATCCTGTGCATGCATGTTCTTGCTTGAAGTCCTCTTTCATCTGAATCGATTACCAAGCTATTATAGCAAGAACATGAACTGTTATCATAATGGGTGGGGAGCTTACCTCACCCCATTGTGAAGTGCTCATTCTGACAGCTCAATAATCCCGAAAAGTAAGAACTGTACAAACTCCTCTACTGTATATGCATTGTATCAACATTGCAGTTCCCCTCCATTTTTGTAAGTCAAAGAAGTTAAAAATAGTGAGCAGTCTGTAAGTATCTTGCTGTAAAGCAGGGGTAGGCAAACTTAAAGAGCTGAAGATCTACCTGAACAACATGGGATAAGTCAAAGTTCACCAGGCACAGTGTCGCCTCCTCACACCGGATTTAAACCTTGAATTGATGTAATACCGTGTCGCAATTGCATGCACTGCACGGCAATCATAGGTTAAAAAAAATCGCCTCCTTACCACCTATCAAGCACACTCGGATCATTTTTCAGAGGAGCAGTAGTGCCTACTGCACTTGTGAATGAGCCATTTGGAAGCAGTACCCTTAGGGCTCATTCACACATGAAGTGAGGGGAGGGGAGGTAAAACCCTGCAGTCGAGTTGTGGTTTTACAACCCCCAGTCCCTACCCCCTTTAGCTGCTGAGGCAGCAGCCAAAGGTGTGCACACGCTGCAGCAGGAATTAAAGCCCCTGTTGCTTTTGGTGTGGGTGCTACTGCCTGCCAATCGTGACCCATTTCAGTAAATGGGGCCACTCAGCAAGCACCCCACGCAACTGCATGCTTCTGGCGCGGCCAAGGGGTGAGAAAGCAACACAACGCTGCCTGACTTAACTCCTTGTTTACTGTACTGCACAAGGTAGCAGGACATTTGCAGAGTGGTCTCATTCACTTGAATGGGTCATGCTTGGCAGGTGTTACACCACCAATGACAGGATGTATAATTCCTGCTGCGGCATGTGTACATCCCCGGTCAATGCATCTAAAGGTGGTGAGGTTGGGACTGGGGCAGTAAAACCACATCTTAACTATGGGATATTACCACCCCCCAAACTGCAAATGAACTCTTACTGTTCTGAACTCCCTATAAGGCTTCTTTCATATGGATGCAGCACAGTGCATATGGGACTTTCCTAGGTTAGCTGCGCATTGCCACAGACTTATATTATATGCTGCAGGTGTGCACTTTTTGAAAATGCACCAAAACTCCTGCATTCAATGCTAATGCTGGCCACACATGTATCAATTTTCGTAGGAAAATTCTTTATACATTCAATGAATGGACGCATGTTGCTTATAAACTTCACTTGCTTTTAACATTCAATTTTAAAATGAATGTAATTTCTGAACAAAAACTACATACACTGTCTGAAAATGTATTCGATTGAGAAAAAGTTTTCTATTCTGCTCCTTTGAATCTTCCTGTCACTGTGGTTGAAAACGAACATCAATTTGACCCCACTATTATTATTATACAGGATTTATATAGCGCCAACAGTTTGCTCAGCGCTTTACAATAGAACGGGCAGCACAGTGGCTAAATGGTTAGCACTTCCGCCTGGCAGTACTAGGGTCTCTGGTTCAAGTCCCGACCACGGCACCACCTGCCTGGAGTTTGCATGTTCTCCCTGTGCGGGTTTCCTCCGGGTACTCCGGTCTCCTCCCACTCTCCAAAGACATGCTGGTAGGTGAATTGGCTCCTGTCTAAATTGGCCCTAGTATGTGTATGTATGAATGTGAGTTAGGGATCTTAGATTGTACGGCCCTTGAGGGTTAGGGACTGATGTGAATGTACAATATATATGTAAAGTGCTGCGTAAATTGACGGCGCTATACAAGTACCTGAAATAATAAAATAAATAACGGGAGACGATACAGCAACAATACAGTTCAATACAAGAGGGTTATGAGGGTCCTGCTCCTTGGAGCTTACAATCTAAGAGGGAGGGGCTAGTAGTACAAAAAGTAGTAACTTTGGGGGATGGACTGGTAGGAGGAGTAGAAGATTCCATTATAAGCCGAGGGCAGGATAGGCTTCCCTGAAGAGAGAGGTTTTCAGAGATCGCCTAAAAGTGAGCAGAGTAGGCAATAGTCTGATAAATTGGGGTAGAGTTCCAGAGGATGGGGGAAGCTCTTGAGAAGTCCTGGAGATGAGCATGGGAGGAGGAGACAAGGGAGCTAGAGAGAAGGAGGACTTGCGAGGAGCGGAGAGTACGGTTTGGGTGATATTTGGAGACAAGAATGGTGATGTAATTTGGGGCAGAGTTATAAATGGCTTTATACGTTATTGTTAATGTTTGAATTTTATCCGTTGGGCAACAGGAAGCCAGTGGAGGGATTGGCAGAGAGGGGAGGCAGACACAGAACGCTTAGTAAGGTGGATAAGTCTGGCAGCAGCATTCATGATAGACTGAAGAGGGGATAGCCTGCGATGAGGTAGGGCAATGAGGAGGGAGTTACAATAGTCAAGGCGAGATACAACAAGGGAGTGAATAAGTTGCTTAGTGATTTCAGAGGTTAAGAACGGACGTATCTTGGAGATGTTGTGGAGGTGAAGTCTACAAGATTTGGACAGTGATTGGATTTGGGGCTGAAAGGACAGATGGGAGTCTAGGATTACACCTAGTACCCTGGCATGAGGGGAGGGACTGACGATTGTGTTATTGATCTAGATGGAGAAGTCAGGGAGGGGGCACGGGCTGGGGGGAATAGTATGAGCTCAGCTTTGGAAAGATTGAGTTTGAGGAAGTGGAGTGACATCCATGCCGATACGTCACTTAGTAGGTTAGTAATGTGAGAGGAGACTGAAGGGGTGAGGTGAGGGGTAGAAAGATAGATTTGTGTGTCATCAGCATAGAGATGGTACTTAAAGCCATATCAAGCCATAGCAACTATCAATTAGGAAATCGAGTGAACTTTCTTAAAATAAAAAATTTCGAAGGAAAAAGTATAGTTAGTATTATCCTCTTCAAGCCGGCCAAACGCAAATGTGCGGCCTCCCGGCGTCTGGGCCTAGACGCCGGGCGGCCGCACATTTACATTCTATTAAAAAAAGAACATATGTGCTGAGAGCGCGGGCCCTGCGCGCTCCCAGCACACATGTCCGGTACTCACGGAAAGGTCCCGACCTCCTCTTTCGATCGGGACCTTTCCCGGTCATGTGACCGCCGTGACGGCCGCCTTCTGAAACCCTTAAAGGGCCGGGAGGCGCCGGCGCGAAGGGGTTAAGCTAGGTACACAGTATAAGAAAATCATGCAAATAATCATCCGGTTTTCCTCAATGTTTCCCAAGAAGTCAAACCTGAGGATTGTACTAACTGAACAAATATTCTCAAACGACAAGGGATTTTTGTTGTTTGACATAGAAGCATTGTAGCATAGATTATTGTGATTTATTGTTTCTGATCACGAGCAGACTTTTTTATCCAATTTTTCTTGTACAAAAACAGTACACATTAAACAAAACGTACGTTCTGTTCACGTATAAGAAAAGTTTTGTAGTTTTTCCTTTAAGAAATGTATGTTTGGAAAGTCTGAATCGCATGTTGAAAGTTGTGTATACACTATATGAAAATCGAACCATTGTTACGAAAACTTAATTTTTCTTTCGATTTTCTTATAGTGTGTGCCTGTGTATAAGGCATCGTTCGCACCAAACGTACAGAAAAACTGATGGAAACTGATGCACGGATTTCACTTGCAGAGACATCAGTTTACATCAATTTTCAATGAATTTTATACACGTTGCAGATTCCTGCGCAAAAAAAAAAATCTGCATGTGATATTAGCACTTCCGCCTGGCAGTACAAGGGTCGTAGGTTCGATTCCCAACCACGGCACCACCTGCCTGGAGTTTGCATGTTCTTCCTGTGCCTGCGTGGGTTTCCTCCGGGTACTCGGGTTTCCTCCCACACTCCAAAGACATGCTGGTAGGTTAATTGGATCCTGTCTAAATTGGCCCTAGTGTGTGTATGTATGCATGTAAGTTAGGGACCCTAGACTGTACGCTCCTTGAAGGCTAGGGAGTGATGTGAATGTACAATATATATATGTAATAGCGCTGTGTAAATGGACGGCGCTATATAAGTACCTGAAATAAATAAAATTAGTGTTATGGTGAGAACAGGGTACATAGAGAACAACTTGATTTCATTGTGCCCTTGCAGAATATGTTCAGAAAAACTGACCTCTCTGCACCATGGTGTGAATGATCCCTTAAATTCATTGAAACGAGCATGTAAACTGATGTTTCTGCAAGTGAAATCTGCATGTCAGTTTCCATCAAGTTTGGTGTGAACCAGCCCTTACAGCAGAACTAAAACCCATCGATATAACAGTTTCAAAAACCAGTTACATGCCAGGAATGCTAACTGTCAAAGTTGCTTGTACTTTCAACCAAACTGTCAAACCATCAAATGGCTGATGGCATAACTGATCACATGTGCAGCACCATGGCAGTTGCAGATAAGGGGCCGAGATAGCAGCTTCCTTGTATGAAAAGGACAGGAGGGTTTAGTTCCACTATAATTTGAGCGCTCTGACCAGTGGTACTTGTGATCCTACGACTTCCAGGGGTGATACATCCACAAAGTGCAGTGGAGTAAAGGAAACAGAGGTGATTGTAGCCGTATTGCACTTGCGACAGAAACAATTGAGTACTGACATGATACTTTTTGTATTTGCACTAACATACAATTTTGAGGACAAGCTTTCGGGGTATGTCCCCTTCTGCAAGGTCCAGGCAGAACTATTGTAGTAGTACTGCCTGGACCTTGAAGAAGGGCACATACCCCGAAAGCTTGTCCTCAAAATTGTATGTTAGTGCAAATAAAAAAAGTATCACGGACAATACTCAATTGTTTCTAAAGGAAGCAGAGAAAAGTCTCACAAGGGATACAGGACTGAGATCGGCCTATCTGGCTATAGACAGTGTCACTAAAGTGTGTGACCCCGATACACTCACATATGGCCCAGTTACAGCACCACCACTAGTCTGGGGTCTGATACGCTGGATACAACTAAACAGGCTTATAACCAGGGGTGGATTGACCATTTGGAAACTCAGGCACTGCCCGGGGTCAGTAGGGGGCCCCATGAGATGCCCCTGGTACCTTTTTCATAGGCTTTTTTGAGTTTGGGCAAGGACACAGGGGCCCCATGATCCCCTATTGCCCGGGGGCCCCATGAGTTGTCAGTCCGCCCCTGCTTATAACTGTGACCGACCAGCACCGTTACAAGACACAGTATTACCCTTGCTGTACCAATTTACTCCTTTGAAAAACTTCTCTCTCTCCTCCTGAACTCCCACTTACTTTCCTCTCGTTGTGGTTGTTGTTCTCCATGGTATAAACAAACAGCTTCCTATGTAGCGACACTTCCACGACCAGCCGCTCACTTCCGGCGCTTTCTAATCGTCACCACCCTGCAGCCAATCACTACAGCTGTACGCAGGATCCGATGCACGTTCACGGCCAGGACGTACGGACGTGTATGGCGCTCGAGGAGGGACAAACAGTGAACTCCTTGTGATGGAAAAGAAATTGGAGACGACGTTAATGTTGTTCTTGTCTCGCATCCCTGTTGTGATATTCAAACAATACACTTCAAGTTTCAATAGTCTATCATTATTCAGACAAGTATAACAAAAACCTGAAGTCCTTACAATATAAAACTGCATAAAGCAGACTGTATACATAGCTCACAATAAAGTACAAAAAACATTTTATATAAATATAGACCATAAATATAGACCCAAGTGCGCAGTCAAGCAACACTTTATCCAAACAACATTTTTTTGAGACAGAGCTTTCTTTTGGTGGTATTTAATCACCTCTGGGTTTTTTATTTTTTTGCAAACAAAATGGCTAAAAAAGTACAAGTTTTTTTGAAAAAAGTTTTTTCTTAGTTTTTGTTATAAAATTTTGTAAATAAGTTAACCCTTTCTTTCGCTAGGCACAGTTCACCACTGACAGGCATCACTGAGGCGGCAGCTTTCAGCGAAACTGTTGCAGGCAGTACAATTGCGTTGTCAAGCAAACAGGCAGGTCTATGGGCCAAAAGTGGCAATTATTTTTTGGCACTGATAATCAGTGCCCTGATCATTTGTGTATTTCCCCAATCAGGAATGCCTTACTGGCTTTTTTCCTCGCTTTTTTGCTGTCAGCGTGAGGAAACTGCCAAAACAAATTTTTGAAAAAAGTTTTTTTAAATGCAATAGTTTTTGTTATTGGACACACCTTCACGTAGAATATCGGCTCTTTACTGCAATCGGTGATCTGCTATGTCCCAGGGACACTGCTCACCACTGATCGCCACCCACCCCTGGGGTCACGCATGCACAGCTAGAGTGAGAGGACGTCATATGATATCCTCCCAGAACGAGAGAACTGCTGCCCGCCTGTCATTTCTAATATGGCATGCAGGAGGCGGTTAAAGCGGAGTTCCACCTGGAAAGAAAGTAAGCAGCTACAAAAACTGTAGCTGCTGACTTTTAAAATACAGGCACTTACCTGTCCCTTGGTCCAACGGTGTCCTCACAACCGTTGGTTTCACTGCCTGTCTTCTCTCCATGGCATCTTCACAGCCGGGGGCCCACTGCGCATGCGTGAGAAGCGCTGCACTTGTGGATGGCCCTGTAATCTTCTGGGACCTGACACATGTCCCAGAAGACTACAGGGAGAGAGGGTAGGAGGACAACTCCCCCCCACTCCCCAAAGGTGCCAATCCTTAATGGGGAGCGGGGACAAAGGCTTAAAGAGGAACTTCCCCTTTTGGGTGGAGCGCCGCTTTAAAGTGATACAAAAGCTGATTTATATTTGTTAAGTAAGCACCTAAGCTCTGGAAGGTTTTACCCCCTTCATGACCAGGCCATTTTTTGTTATTTAGGACTGTGCTGCTTTGCTTGGTAATTGCACGGTCATGCAATGCTGAACCCAAACAAAATTTGTATTAATTTACAGGATTTATATAGCGCCAACACTCTGTGCAGTGCTTTACAACATGAAGGAAATCGGTACATTTTCAATTAAATACAGTAGGAAACAGAGGGCTCTGCCGCTTAGAGCTTACAGTCTAAAATAGAGCTTTCTTTTGGTGGAATTTGCTCACCACTGGGTTTTTTATTTTTTGTGATATAAATGAAAAAAGACCCCAAATTCAAAAAAAAAAAACATGTATTGGATATGTTTTATAGCAGAAAGTAGAACCTTTTTTTTTCTTAAATCTAATTTATTCATAAATTTTTGCCATAATGTATTCTGCTACATGTCTTTGGAAAAAAAAATATCCTACTAAGTGTATATTGATTGGTTTGTGTCCAGGTAATAGCATCTACAGACTATGGTATAGATACTGGAATTTGTATTATTTTTTTTATACTAGTAATGGCGGTGATCAGTGACTTATAGTGTGGGAGGCAATCTGACGCTAACTGCCACCTCCAGTGACACTGATACAGTGATCAGTGCTAATAATATACACTGTCACTTAATGATACTAGCTGGGAAGGGCGATCAAGAGGTTAAATGTGTGCCTAACAATGTTTGGTGATGATTTTACTAAGCTATGTGCCGGTTTTTACTCCCTGCTTTGCAGGGAGGAAAAAAACGTCACGTCACTGCACTATATATAGAGCCCTTTGTTGTTTACCAACACAGGGCTCTTTTCTGTCATTTGCTCAGCAGGTCCCAGCCATAAATCATTGGCCGAGACCTGCTGATCAGCTTGTGCTGCAGCAAATGACAGCACAGGCTTCTGGGTCTGTGCACGCATGTGTGAGTGGACTCAGAAGTAAGCTGCAACATACAGGTATGTAATTGTGTCTGTATGAGTTGACCTGCCACAGTAAATGTATTGCTATAGATTGGCAAGCAGTTAAAAAAAGAAGTAATACTTACCTTTTCTGTGCAACAGTATTGCACAGAAAGGTAGCTCTCCCTCCACTTTTGGAAGTCCCTCGGTGCTGCAAGCTCCTCCCTCCTTCAGGTGCCTCCTTTAGCCAGCTAGGTGCTAAAGAGGCATCTGTGCTTGCCTGCACCTTAGCTGGGCTGTGCGCATCCATAGACACACACAGTGCCTTTAAGCCACACCCACCCCTCCCTCCTCAAATAAGATTGACTAACAGCAACAGGAGCATATGGCCCCACTGCCCTCCATGTTTCCTGTGAAAGCAGAAAGTGAGGGGAGTGATGATATGTAGCCAGGTGTTTATGCAGGCCATAGATGGTTAGTTTATCGGACGATTTTTCATCCGAAAGAATAATCGACCGATTTTCGCACTGTTAGTGGGGCAATGGCATTAGCTGTTTTTAGCGGCTCCTCCTCATTTTGTTTATCGGTCATGCTGGAAAATTCGTGAAAAACTGCCGATTTTCGCAATCATTGGTGGCAACATCGGTTTACAGAACGAACAATGTTTCGTTTTTCGAATGAAAAATTGGCCGATAAACGAACAGTCTATGGCCTGCATTAGGTAGGGCAGGTAGTGGGGTGTTTTTTAGCGGAACTAAACCCATCAATTTAACAGTTTATAAAAAAAAACAGTTACATTCCGAGCATACCAGGAATTATAACTGTCACATTTGCTCGTGCGCTCAACCAAATTGTCAAGCCATGAAATGGCTGGTGTCATAACTGATCACATGTGCAGCATCATGGCAGCTTAGTTGGCCGAAATGGATAGGAGGGTTTAGTTCCACTTTAATGCAAAGAATGCATTAGTATAAAACATGTTTAGACTTCAGTACCATTTTGAAAGAGAAGTTACTCTTTTTAAAAAATTATAAATGCACGTATTTTTGCAGGATAAAAATGTATTTATTTTTTTTTTTTCACAGGAGCATGCAGAGCATTGCACCCATGATTAGTAGTTTGGAGGTGCAACGTCAGGCTCCTGCACACTCTCCCTCCAACTTTCTGCCGTACCTTAGAAAGCCGGAGGAAGGGGGAGATGCTGCATAGTAAAATGTTACACCCTAAATTCGGTAAATATATTAACGTTACTAAAGCTGAACTTAGCTTTTAAATTATACGTAAAGGCTTTTTTTTTAAGCTATGGAGAGGGAATAGAACACTTCTCAGGTTTTTACTGCTGTCTTTGTCCCTATTAGGGCAATTCACCATAACATTATTCTATGTACACTGCTCAAAACAATTAAAAGAACACTTTGGAATCACATCAGATCTCAATGGGGAAAAATCTCATGCTGGATATCTATACGGATATGGACTGGGTAATGTGTTAGGAATGTAAGGATGCCCCATCGTTTGATGGAAATAAAAATTATCAACCTACAGAGGACTGAATTCAAAGACACCCAAAAAATCTAAGTGAAAAATGATGCAGCAGGCTAATCCCTTTTGGTGAAATTTCATTGTAGCAACTCAAAATGGTACTCAGTAGTTTGTATGGCCCTCACGTGCTTGTATGCATGCTTGACATCAGGGCATGCTCCTAATGAGACGACGGATGGTGTCCTGGGGTATTTCCTTCCAGATCTGGACCAGGGCATCACTGAGCTCCTGGGCAGTCTGATGTGCAACCTGGCAGTGGTGGAAAAAAAACAAAACATGATAGCCCACAGGTGTTCTATTGGATTTAGGTCAGGTGAGCATAGGGGCCATTCAATGGTATCAATTCCTTCATTGTCCAGGAACTGTATGCATACTCTCGCCACATGATGCCAGGCATTGTCGTGCCACTGCACCAGCGAAGGGTCTGATAATGGGCCCAAGGATTTAATCCTGAAACCTAATGACAGTCAGGGTGCCATTGTGTAGTCTGTAGAGGTCTGTGCATTCCTCCATGGATATACCTCCCCAGACCATCACTGACCCACCACCAAAATGGTCATGATGAATGATGTTATGGCTTCTCCAAACCCTTTCACGTCTATCACATGTGAGATGTGAAAGGGAGACACAGCAAACCTTCTGGCAATAGCACGTATTGATGTGCCATCCTGGAGGAGTTGGCCTGGCTGTGCAACCTCTGTAGTGTCCAGGTATAGCCTCATATTACCAGTAGTGACACTGACCCTAGCCAAATGCAAAACTAGTGAAAACCAGTCAGAAAAGATGAGAAGGGGGAAAAAAAAAAAATGCCAGTGGCCTCGCACCTGTAAAACCATTCCTGTTTTGGTGGTCGTCTCATTGCTACCCATCTAGTGCAGCTGTTGTTAATTTCATTAACACCAAAGCAACTGAAACTGATTAACATCACCCTCTACTGCTTAACTGACCAGATCAATATCCCAGGAGTTTAACTGACTTGATGCTATACTCCTGTAAAATGCATTTTTAAGCATTTTCCTATTCATAGGTTCTAGTAATTGCAAAAGGGCCCTCATGATAACTAATGACTACTGGAGTAAAAATCTATTAACGTTATTTGATGGTATTTAAAGCAGAGCAGTGT